AATCTTGAATAATAACTTTCTACATGAATCCTAAACTATCCTAAAATCCTATTTTAACTAAATAAATTTAATAATATAACTATTGTCATTAATTAATCTACTTTCTATCTGGCGACTTCGTGTACTATATTTTGGATTGTCGTCACGTTGAACACTGTTGCAATCAGCTTTAGCCACCCCCCCCCAATTTGAAATTTGGAGCCCCCCCCAAGAATTTCAATGACGCAGTCTGCGTCACAGCTCCCCCTTGTGGGCACCCCTGAGAAATGAAATTATTGAATCTTAACAGCTGTTTCAATTAAACAAGTTGGTTCTGTTCTGTGATGTTCAATAGCATTAAAGTTACAAGGATTACCAACAGGGTGCAGCACTAGCACTATTATTTCTTTTACATTTATGACAACAGCAAAAGGTGAGTGAGCGTAGCGAACGAACTTCAACCTGGAGGCGAGTGAGCGTAGTGAACGAGCTAACCTGAAGGCAAGTGAGCGTAGCGAACGAGCTAACCTGAAGGAAAGTGAGCGCAGCGAACGAGCTCCAACCTAAAGGTGAGTGAGCGTAGCGAACAAACTTCAAAAAGAACCTAAATTTCTTAAACCATGTCCTCACTCATAACTGCTATAAGCATTTGATACTTATATGCCAACCCCGTACGAAGGACGGGTACTCTGCTAGTTATAGCATAAAATCCACCGGTATGGATCATAAACATAAACAAATGACGTTTTTGGCCCGAAAATAAACATTATTTAACATTGCTTAAATGGAACTGCCAAAACATATGTTCAATGATATTAGTATAGGATTCGGGCCAACAACGTCATTTGTTTATGTTTATGACCCATACCGGTATTTTTCTAGTAATCGTGATAAAAACTCATAAACCTTTGCAAAACCCATTTCAACATTTTACACATGTGTTTATTTTTGTTTATGTACATATGGCTTGTGTTCATTTCTTAAACTTTGAATCACACTTGATTTGATTAATCAATACTTACTATTAATATATAGGATTTGTTTGACTAACTTAAATTGTTTTTTTTTTTCAATTCAAAAGGGCAAACTTATTTTATAAAATTAGAAGATCACTTTGAAGCCGATATTGATGATTATCACGAAATAGGTAAGGCGTGAAACTCAGAAAACATAACTGAAGAATTTACTACATAAGTTACCTAACCTCAAAATCGAAAAGTGAAGCTTGACATTAACATTGGATACTATAAGAAATCAAGACTTCTTCATTTTTGCAAAATACGAAGTTATTTGTCCAGTAAAGCTCAAACGCTGATGTATAGCGCTTGTGTTAATTATTTTTCTCTTATTCTTCGAGTGCTATCGTGTGAATGTGAATATAGTTTTCACAGAGGATACGCGTCCGGTAACCAGACGTGGATTAGGCGTCCGGTAACCAGACGTGGATTAGGCGTCCGGTAGGGGGTCCCGGAACGCCATTACCACAATGATACGATGTTCAGCCATCACTGTTCGTGGTGTAGTGGATAGAGTGCTCGGCTGATAAGCGAGAGGTCCCCGGTTCGAAACCCATCAGTATCTTTAACTTTTTGTCACAGATTTTGCTTTGAATGTAATTTCTTCTTAACTGTACATCTTTTGTTAGAATTTTCGGCATTTATAATTTTATGTTATGAAGAGAATTGAACCTTCATTTGATTTTTTCACTATCAGCAAGTTTGGTTGGTTAGGTTAGGTTATGACAGTAACTGCCGGACGCCTAATCCACATCCGGTTACCGGTCGCGTATCCTCTGCGTATAGTTTTCCCCTCTACTCTAGAATTCTAGAGTAGCTTTTACAGTGCGTTTTCGTCTTTGGCCTCGATACACCCAATCCAGTAGAACCAGTTAGTTTACAAGTAGATTGTTTTTGGTCAAACTAAAGTTTAAATCATAATAATAGTGAGTGGTATATGGGAGGTATTGGTCCATTCAAGCGTTTATTTGAATAAAAATGCCAACACACCACTAAACTGGCTTCAATTTATCCACAAAGATCAATTTAACAGGGACTATTTTTTTTTAGAGCTTGATGCATTAGTATAGGAATGAAGTTTAAAACCACTCAATGAAATCGTTGGCTTGCTATTTCCTGCAGAATCTTAACTGCATTATATAAAAATTAATCATGTAATTAAATGAGCATCTTGACTCAAAAATCACATTTTAGGATTACTGTTTTAAATCAGTGAATTGTATTCATACATGGTAGATTCCCATTGATCCTAAAGACACTCCTCGACGGAGAGCCCAACGGATTCCGCCCGGCGGAAACGTCGTGCATAAAAGAGGCCTAAAGAATAAGGTGTCTTTCCGTGCATTTGAAATTTTTACCGCCGGTCGATTCGCACGCACCCACCGCGGGCCGAATTTTCGCCGCTCAGCTAGGACGGGCCTTACAACAGAAAGATTGATCTAACTTATTGTAGAATGAAACTCTTGAATTAAATCCGGTTTCTTTAATCAAATGCTCCGATTTGAGTTCAAGTGGATGTGTTGAGTAAATATGGTTAATTTCTAGGACTTATTCTTGTTTCAGCGAATTTCCCATACAGGGAACAAGATATTTTTATTTGAATAACAGTTTTTCATTCTTGGTGAGGATTTTGCTCTTTTCTTCATCCATTTTTTTCCCGATTTTCATCAGTCAATTATTTTCGTTATGTAGCCATACAAAATAATGTATCTTTAGACATTTAAAAATGTTAAGCCAATCTTGGTCCTAGCATTACAAAAAAAATAGTTTTGCTCTCTTCTTTTAGGGTTAGGTACCATAACCCTTTTTCTGTGGGGAATGACTCCCAAATATATTTTATTTTTACATAATGTAGGTAGCCTATTTTTGTATTTCTATAAGTTACAGAAATGACATAGAATAACGAAACCTTCAACTTAAAAGTTAAAATATTCGGTTACCCAGTTTAACAAAAGAGATGTTGAAATCCGCATTACAATTCATTATGCTGACATAGATCTACATTTCAAGAGAAGATGATTTAACCCAGCATTTTAGATTAAATATTTGAATATTTACTCTATTAGTAAATGCCCCATATAGGGTATAATCTATCAGCTTAGGTCTCATGGTAAGACAGACCCGGGACCAATTTACTTTTTTTGTTTTGATGTCCCCAGAGGCCAAAAACACCATCATGTCAAATTAATTTATATAAGTTAGCACATTTTTTATGAAAAAAACTGTACATGAAAAATTTATATGCTATTTTATGGACAATAAATTAACTATTGCTTGTTTACGAATATATTTTGATCAAATTTATCAAATTTGTTTATTTCAACTAAGCTATTAAAAACACACTTTATTCCTTTATTTCTAAAGTAGCAAACCTAATTAGGCATACTAATTAAAATAAATGTTAAACCTAGGCATATTTTAAATAGAAAATAATGTGACAATAGGAATATTTTAGCAAAAATCCAACCAGGTAAATGGAAGTTCCCCTAGTTGGTAGTTTTGCTGCAGCAGGGGGATATTTGAAGTTTTTGTAATGTTCTAATGTTATAGGAACCGTAAATATAAGATTGTGTATGTAAAGGGTATGCCAGTAAGAACACCCGATTTCAGGAGCATCTTATTCTTATCTGTATTTCAATAGGAATTCACAAATTATCAGCGATGTTATCAATATTAGGTCCCATTTGTAGTCATGGATTGCTAAACGAATCAACACGTGGTCATAGTTGAATTTTGCACTAAAGTATGGGGTACCTATGTTTTGCAAAAACGGTGCGGAAGCTGCACACTATTTTCGGCCAGGACGATGCACCAAATGAGTCATCTGACTGACAGAAGATTGATTTCTAAGTTTGTGAACATTAAAAAAAAAACCCTAAAAGACTAGTGCGCAGTCTGGCAGGTCGCTCCCTTGAAAATATTTGAAGCTGTACATGATAGTGCAGAGGACAATGCAAGAACATAGATTCGTCGTCGTAGTCAGCAGTTAGGCCTATCTCGGAGCACAGTACAAAGAATTTTGGTAAAAAGCCTTCACATGTTCCCATACAAAATTCAACTCACACAAAAGATCAAGCCAAGAGATCCCGTAAAAGGGCTTGAATTTGTAAAATGGGTGGTTGGAAATCAAGATGAAAATTACATGTTTTCAAAAACTTTGCTGTTCAGTGGTGAAGCACACTTTCATCTAAACGGTTATGTAAATAAGCAAAACTGTAGAATTTGGGAAACTGGAAATCCTCGACTCATCACAGAAAACCCTCGCAGAAAACCATACGATCTATCCTCCGCGTGTTACAGTTTGGTGTGGGTTTTGGGCAAATGGAGTCATTGATCCAAACTTTTTTGAAAACGAGGATGAAAACGCTTTGACTGTAAATGGTGAACGTTACAGGGAAATGATACGAGAGTTTCTCTGGCCTGAGCTTGAGGAGGTGGACCTGGAAAATATGTGGTTTCAACAGGACGGTGCAACATGCCATACAGGTCGAGATTCAATTAATCCGCTGCAAGAACGATTCTTAGCACGTGTAATTTCAAAACATGGTGATCGTAACTGTCCAGCAAAGATCATGTGATTTAACACCGTGTGACTACTTTCTTTTGGGATATTTAAAGACGTTTGTTTACGCCAATAATCCTCAAACAATCCAAGACCTGAAGGAGGAAATTATTCGTGCCATTAATGGAATTCAACAGGAAGTGTGTGAAAAAGTGATGGGAAACTTTATCAAGAGATGTCGGGCTTGTCAGCAGGCTGCAGGTGGGCACTTACAAGACATAATATGCCATTACTAATCAAAGATACTATGCTTTTAGATTCATGTTTCATATTGTAAATTTAGCGTGAAAATATAAGTTTGTTAACATTTAAAATCTGGCGTTCTTATTGGGACACCCTTTAGTAAAATTGCTTGAATTTATACAGATTTGATTCATTTTGCAACACTTTTACTAATCATTTATCTATCTGTTTCAATTTTTATCATCTATTTTATTTTCTAGGTGACAGCAGAATCCATGAGTTCCATAATTTGTCTGTTAAACGGTAGAGAATAGGTAAGTTAACATTTAAATTAGTAAACTTACAAATGTTAAGAGATATTTTAGATGTAACAATACTTTAACAGTCATCTGAGCCTTTTGACACTCATCTTCAATTCTTTCTTGGGATCAAATGTGGTTTTTGCCATGGTAATATACAGTATTCCATCTAAAAGCCAAGTCATCCTAGTCCTCCTACTCATGTTCGTCTTAAAATACACTTGTTTATTTCAGTATAAAAAAAAATAGTGATTAAATTATGAATGACTGTTGCAGTGGTCATATGCCATTGAAGAAGGCTACATATTCGAGGCCTGGTGTGCGTATATATCTCTTCATTGGCTGTGTGATAGTATGGGCCGCGCTGGAACTGACCATAGAAAGATCAGACGATTCTCTGTTTATTCCTCAGACAAGCAGAGGTAAATGGAGAGTTTGGACGATGACTCTTTTCCACTTCTTACTGAATATGATTCTATTCAATTTATTCTATTTACGTGCTATGATTCTAAGCAACTTCTTACTGGCTTTGATTGCAATCAACTACTTTCTGGCTTTGACTCTATTCCACAATTCACTTTGAAACTATCCATTACTACTTTGTAAATATCCGAATAAACATTCTGTGATCAAAATTTTAGTTGTACAATAAAAATAATGCGTATAGTATCAAATGATGGAGATGAGTTTATTTTCAAATAATAATTCAGTGAAAATTCAACAAAATGTTTTCAGTTTATTTAGCTAATATAATTGCTAACGAATATCATTTATCTCTTCTATGAGCTATTTATGTTGATCAATAAATGTGCTTAACAGTTTGTCGTTTGTCAATAGTTGCATGGTTCACTTAATAAGTCATGTTATGAGATGTTAGGATGAATACAAAAATCATAATATTTTATCAATTAGGATAAATACATGCGATAAGGTAAATTTGTTTCATCATTGTAGCATGTAAATGATCAAGAATTACATCAAATTCAACTAAACCCAAGAATCACAACCTTAAATTGTTCCAACAGGAGTGGAAGTATCAAACACCATCCAGTAAAAAGTTAAATTACTTGTCCACAAAGAATGTCACTTATGCATGATGTGAGCACGATGCCCCATCTAGATTGTAGTTTTGGTGTTTCAACACAAACGTTTTTACAGATCATGTCACAGATGGAACCACATTTTATTCAGGATTTCTCGTCAACACGAATGGCTGCAGGATTCCTGACCTTGACCCGATGGACATCTCGGTGCGCAAGTTCGTCTACGACGAGCCAGTGCTCAACTGTTCTGCACAGTACGGTCCTGCGCTGGTCCTGTCTAACCTGACGGCTGTGTACATCAACACGTCTGCACTTTCCTACTACAACGTGACAGTAGGGCAGATCAGCTGTTGCTACAGGCCGTTTTGGCGGGAGGAAGTGAAATTCAACCCGTCCGGAGAGTATCCTTCCAATGTTGACTCAACCGTGAGGTAAGGATTCATCTATGGTGTCTCATAATACTGAACTAAGGATACTGTTGTAGATTTATCATCAATAGGAATATGCTGTAGATGTATAACTCTTTTATGGATTATGAAGGGAAAATAGTCATCACACATGGGTTAGGACCAGCTAGATACTAATGGAGTATATGATTAGGGAGGAGGGAGCAGGTGGCAGATTTGATCTATCTTGCTTGGCTTTGATTAAAGTACTAAATCATGATTATAATTAACTATGCAAGTTTTCATAAAACTTCCCCTAATCGAACCTGAGCCAAACTGTCCATGTTGTTAACGAGTTTTACTATCTGTTGCAGATTTGCAGACAATTGTGTGCCGTTCCTCAGATCTGCTACAATACACAACAAGTATGTGAAGGTGGAGTGTTCCGTAGGAAATGACACGGTATACAAAGACTATTATGCATTTTTTCCAAAAGACTTATCATCAAACACCACACAACCACAACACTCAACTAACTCTGAAGAAGCTGTAAGTGTTTTAGTTTTTGGGGTGGATGCAGTCTCGCGTCTAAACCTTTATCGTCAAATGCCAAAGACTCTTAAGTTCTTAAAGAAAACACTTAATGCTGTGGAAATGCTAGGATATAATAAGGTAGAGGATAATACATTTCCTAATTTGATACCGGTTTTAACAGGCCTCACTACAGAGGAATTGAAACAAAAATGCTGGCCAAAGACCCATTATGTTTTTGATGACTGCAACTTCATCTGGAACAACTTTAGTGATTTAGGGTTCAAAACTGCATTTGGTGAAGATGCTTCATGGATGGGAATATTTAACTATGTTAAAAGAGGATTCCGAAAACAGCCAACTGATTATTACATGAGAGTTCTAAATAAAGTAGCCGAAGACGATATTGGTTTTGAAAAAAGATTGAATGCAAACCTCTGCATCGGTCCTAGAAAGAGTTTGGAGACCTTGATTGACTACGCTTCAAAATTTTCAATCACTATGAAAGACGTTTTAACATTCTCTTTTTTTTGGGGAACAAGTTTATCCCACGATTACTTAAACTTGCCAAAGTACGGCGACGAGGACCACAAAGTATTTTTTGAGAGTTTGTACAATCACGGTATCTTCAACAACACAATCTTAGTATTCTTGAGTGACCATGGCATCAGGTGGGGAGGAATACGAGGAACTTATCAAGGATATTTAGAAGAGAGGTTGCCATTCCTGTTTATAGTTTACCCAGACTGGTTCAGAAGCAAGTATACGACAGCTGTTAGCAATTTGAAGAGAAACGCTAAAAAATTAACAACACCTTTTGATCTGCATGAACTCTTGAAAGATCTGACAAATCTGAAACAACTTGAGAAGGAAACACTGAAGAAAAGATCTGAAGCTTTACAGAATGCTCAAACACTCCCAAGAGGTATCAGCATGTTCCTGCCTGTTCCCGGGGACCGCACTTGCCCCGACGCAGGGATAGTTGACCACTGGTGCACTTGTCACCAAAGTAAGGATATTTCTACTAACAACACCTTGGTAAGACAAGCTTCCGCCTATTTGGTGAAGCACATTAATTATTTGCTCCATGATTTTACTCAGTGTGTGGAATTGACACTGAAGAAGATCATGCACGCAAGAGAAGAAAAGTCAATTTCTCACAGTTCCTTTGAAACTTCTGACAAAGGACTTACTGACCTGAGCATTACAATTCAAACTACTCCAGGGAATGGACTATTTGAGTCGACAGTGAGACACGATGGGAACCAAAACAGCTTTAGTGTTGTAGGAACAATCAGCAGGATAAACTTATATGGGGACCAAAGTAAGTGTATGCCCAACTACAAGCTGCGACTATATTGTTATTGCAACCACGAGTAATATATCTACTGGCTGGTGTTTTATATTGAATTCACAAACCTAGATGAATTTTTTTCCCCCTGGTATGATCAGTTATTACAAACCAATATGGACATGAAAACATGCAGAATAGTTTTAACAACAAGTAACTGAATAGCATTACGTACTTGCTCAAACACCTGGACTAAAATTCAAAATTCACATTATAGAGAAATATGTTAGTCAATTAATTTTTTGCATTTTGATTCATTATTAGGGTTAAAAATATTTGTACTTATTGATATGAGTTTTACACAAAATAATTAGGTTTAGTTGGATGGTAAGCAAATGCGCTGATAAATGTTTAAATGTGCCAAAGATGTTAAAATGTAGATTGTACTAAAAGTTTGTTACCAATAATTTTCTAAGAAAGTTGAATGATATTGTAAAAATATTTATAGTGCCAATAATACAATTGTTCTCAAATTTAAGGTGTTAATAGCTGTATCCCACATTGACTGCAAATTTTAGTTGTATTATTTTTATTCCTTTTGAAGAGCAGCAGTATTTTATTTGTGTTTCCCTTGAAATATAATCAAGTCTTTTTATATACATGTAATTTCTTTTCAATCATATCAGTAATGAAGCTATGAAGTTATGAAAGTGTCGATGACAGAAAACCGTTTTGCAGCCGTCCATTGCCACTGAACCGGTTGTTGGGCCATGGCACATGTAGTTAAATGCAAGCTTTCATACTACACGGTTTAAAATCAAACCAAATAGCTCAGCTGTTGCAAAATTTATTGTTTACAATCTGGGTTCATTTCTATTGTGATGTTGTGGACCCATTCATTTTGCTGTATGGTCAGAAACCGTGAACGGAAAAAACAAAGAAACGGTGTAAAATCGTACTGTTTTGAACCGGCCCGTGGAAAGCGTATAGTGTGAAAGGAGCTTAAGGAGTTTATTGCTGAACTCTTTGTAAACCAGAAAGTTTATGTTTAAAGGGACTGATAAAGTGAGCTGGAGTAGAGTTAATTCAACAGCATTTTTTTCAAAAGGCTTTGAACAAAGCTATAACTTCTCCACAAGAATAGACTCTCCATTAGGTAGGCTGTCCACGAACCTACCTCTTCCATCCCCTACACGTAATAAATTCACCCAATGCAAAAATTTTGTTGATTAGAACATAATCACTTAGATTGATGGCTGCTATTATGTAGAGTATTGTGATGATATACAAACGATATTAAGATGAGAATATTGTGAAATTCTACATGTAACAGTAATTACGATACAGTAGCCTACTCAGATAAACTCCCGCTAACGCATATTTCCCGGCCTGGTAGAATAATGCAGCTTACTATTCTTTGTTTTAAGTTCATTTTCGGTGATAGTGTGCTTATGTTATTTACCAGATTATTGGACACATAAAAATAACCAATGATGGATTATTATTTAAATGTCATAAATAATTTTGTTGTAAATTGGTCCATTTATGAGATGTGATGAAGAGTAATTTTTAGCTTTAGTTAATTAGTTTTGATTTGTGAATTCAGAGAGTTAAAAATAAGATTCTCAGTTAATTTTTTTTAAATCTTTATTTGAGAACAAAGTAAAAAAGAGTATGCCTAATAGTAAGACTTACTAACGAGACATGTTAATATTAAATTAACTTAACAAACAGAAAAAATGAGGTATAGATAAGTAAAACATACATTACCAACACTAAGTTTATTATAAAATTTAAATTACAAACAAAACAAAAGTATGGACAAAGTATACAATTAACCATTCTTGAGCCTTGATACTTCTTTTATTCGTCCAATATTACGTTTATTTATATGCTCGGAATGATACAATTCAGCTTGTCAAATAGAATTATCAATTTTAACTAACACAGCAATCACATACACACACTTACTTTGGCTCGTTCACATTGAATTGACAAGCAGAATCAAACTAGTGTTCACAAGAAAACAGGCTCACAACAAAACCAAAATCTAATATTTTTCCAACAAAAACTAAATTATTAATTAAACATAATGGAATTTACTAAGTTTATAATCTAACAACTTATTACAAGAGGAGACAATTCTTATAAATTATCTCAAAAACAAATTTAAGTCTTAGTATTTCTTTTCTGTTGGGTGGTTACAAATCTAATTGAAATTAAATATTTAATCTTTTTGTGTGTTGGCCTACTCAAGAGGATTAAAAAATGTATACTGAACAAACCTACTAGAGTTTAGAAATGCATGATCAATGTCTAAAAATACCGTAACTATACACTCATTGATGGATAAGACTAGGCCTAGGCAGACATTTACTACATTATTCACTGGAAGAACTTGTTATACTTTGCATCATTGGTAAGTAATACAACCATTGTTTAAAAGAGGTCGTAGATATTTTTATCTCATATTACCCTAACTAGTATTTAAAATATTACTAGTAGTTATGCAAATTATTATCAATTTCTCTTGAAAAACATTTTTCAAAAATTAAATACTATAAGAATCAAGAAATTACAACAAAATCTCCCCTGAAAGTAAGTATAAAATTTCTAGTTGAATAAAAAAGTTAGTAATTCAAGGAGGTTAAGTAACAACGCCCAAAGTAAAATGAAACAAAATTGTATAAAAATACATTACATATCATTGACCATGGGTAATAAATAAGAAGAGTTAAATTCAAACTTATCGCATTTATGCTACTTAGTTAAACTTCGAAACTAATTTCAAATTTCACCTTAATTACTCTTATTAAAATGTGTTTTTTTCAATGGGAGGGAATATCCATTACAGCTTAAAATTAAGAGTCATATTACGGAAAGAAGAAACAAAAAAGGAGTAGGCTAGGGCTTATTACAATAACTGTAGAGATACTTAGGGGTTTCAGTGAAAACTGGTTTAATTTTTTGACTGAAACAGGAGCCAATTACTGATAACCACAGTGTAACAAATATTTCCATCTCTATTTAACAGCTTTTGAAAGAATATCATATTCTTTACGTCAATTTTCTATTTTTACCCCCAGAAACAAAATAATTTACAATAACGTAAAAATTCAGTTGATTTCACATAAAAGATAAGTCTTTTACTTCCTAGTTTACAAGTCCAAGTCCATTAACAAAAAGTGTAAAAATGAAAGTCTTTGGTCTCAAGCATGCTACAAGTAAAATCAAGTATTTCAGATTTCTTTTGAGCGATCTAACATACTAAATAATGAGGGGCTGAACACACGGGTGTCTAAACTCTAAAGCGCTAAACATACAAAAAGGGGTTAAAATATTATTTCTCCTTTACTACTAAATGTAATGGCAAGAAAGGTAAATAACTTGTTAGCTTCACAGATATATGGTAGACTAAGCATTGTAACTTTGTATTAAACAGTCGTATTCAAGTTTACCTTTATAAATTACCGTACATTATAATTTCTTCATCTGTTTGTGATTCAATACATGGTCCTGGCTTATAAGCAGCTGGCCTCAGTCAGAAATAAAATTACAGTAGAACTATAATTATCTGAATTGCCGATCATCCGAATTACATACAGAAGTAATTTTAAAAACTTACGTGATTGCGGCAAAATCCAAAACCTCTCTCAATATCATCTTGACATCATCGTCTCTTACAGTCACGAAAACATCGTCATAGTTTTTCAAAATGTTAAATATTTCCGTGTACTGTTGAAATTACTTGCTGTACCGGTACCTTGAAAGGCGACCGATTTTTAACCTCTCATGATCATCTTCAGGCAGACGTCGTCATTATCTTTCAGTTCTTGGAAACACTTCAATAAAAAAAAAAAAAAAAAAACATTGAGTAGTGACTCAATGTTTTTTTTTTTTTTTTTTGTAAAACAGTGGTTTTACAAAGAACTTAACACAAAACACGTAAAAATGCCCAATACCTATTACCGTTTTGTAATAGTTAGTAGAGCATAATAATAATATCTATGGTTCTTACCGTCAACGCAATCAGGGGTAATATTCCACCCCCTGGGTGCGATGGAGTCTTCTCCGAAACGGCTGTAGTGGAACCCCTGATGTTACTACGATGGAACCCCTGATGGAACCCCTTTCATGTTACCCCTGATTGCGTTGACGGTAAGAACCATAGATATTATTATTATATTTTCACGCAATCTGCCACACTCAAGAATATAATATATTAGTAGAGCAGTCTAGACTCGACTTCCGTGTTGCCCACCGCTTGACCGATAATTTCACCAGTACACGTATTGATCATTGATTCAGAGGCTTAACTCAAATAAATATATCCCACGGTCCTACTAATGCAGTAGTTATGCCTAGTCTAGTACCATCTTAATTATTTTTAAACTTTCTGTATTACCTTTCTTGCTCTACTTAGTATTTGAGACTAGTCTAATACATATGAAATACAAGTTGATATCGTTACAACCTTGTTGAAAGGAACATTTTACTTCAGTCTATCAACTAACTGGTTTACACACCTGTTCTTGATTATTTTTATTCAAGAAGATTAGCCTATTTATTTTCTAATTGGATCTGGACACTGGTCTGTTGTAATCTTGGAAATCCGGACTAATGTGATAAAATATCCAGATTTCCTTATGTTGCAAATGAGTCGGCAATGCAGCTTTTTATAAAAAATTAAACACGTGGTTTACTATTCTGTTGATACTTTACAACAGTTCAACACTCTGATACTGCTACGCTATTCCACGTTCATCATAAAGTATGAAGTCTATAAATCATGTGTTTCAAATGACAGTTTCAGCAACACTTGCCATTCTAAAAATATCAGGACCTGCTGTAAAACGCTCTTTTAACTTTTCACCCTTATCTAATGTTTTATAACAATACTTTGAATAGCTTAAGTCAAATCTAAGTCATTAGGTCAGCAAACCAATCCATAAAAAACATAAGACAACAGAAGTAATGGTTTCATGGATTACGACTGGTTTATTCAACATCAAATTATTACAAACAAATATTTAAACAATGTCAACAAGAACTGGTTTGACGCAACAGGATGTTATCAACCAAACCGTATGAAAAATTATGGAAAATTGCTAAAGCATACATTATATATTGATTAACAAAGCTAGGCTGTAAAAGCAGATTTAATTTCCTATCTCATACTTGTGTTTGTTCATAAAAAATAACATAGGTATTTATTACTAAATTTTGTAATTTTTTAAACATTGGTAACACAAAAATTTTACCATGGCTCAAAGAACAAGTATATTCTTCGTCATAAGAACAAGTGTGTAAGCCATTCAGCTATACAATTCAGTTCGCTTACTCGTTATTCACTACAAATAAATCAGTCTTACCTCGCACTAATGCTGTCCGTTGACATGGTGACCGTTGGATACCAAGGGAGTGGACGATCGTACAACTACGGTGACGTCATTGTTGTTGACAGGGGTCAAGCTATGCTTAAGTATGATTTTACCGACGGCAACATAACAACTACCGAGGGGCGTTAGGCTCCGTTCCAGAGAGAGTTTAGTATTTTTAACACTACTGATTGGAGTTAAACTGAGTCTGGGTGACAATTTAGTAGTTTCGCTAAGCTTAACTCTCGTAGAATGATAGCTGGTAGACATAGACTTCTCAGCCACGGAGGAATTGACCATATCGTCAAGTCTTGAGGAGCGTTGCATCAAACACTCAGCTTCAGGAACTACAAAAATGTCCTGTTGGCTCAGAGGAGCGATGAGAGACACAGAGAAGGTTTTGTAGAGTTCAATGACTGGATAGGCACTCAGTTTGTGAGTCTGAAAAAAACCAAAGCATGTTTAGTATTGCAAATAAAGATGTGTAATTTAATTGCCAAAGTGTAAGTTCAAGAAATAAGTATCACTAGAAATAGGCTAGTTATAATTTTGTTTGCCTTGGTGTAGGTTGTACAAGTCTTGTATTTTTTGTGGATGATGTGTTAACTACCTAGCACCCTTAAGTCCATTTTGGAAAGACTTTCTCAGCAAAAACATCAAGGGTTACTTGTTGTCCAACCTTGTTACACAGTTAAGAAATTCTCTACCTGTTACATACTTCCATTAAGTGCCAATTGTCTTTGACTAGACATATTATCTATTGTGTTTAGTGGCTAAACAATAATGATTTGAAATTGAAACCATATTACTTGATCAACATAATTTTAAAATATTGACAGTAGTAAGACCATTCAAACTGAGCCAAAATCTACATGTACCATACAAGTTTTAGAAGGAATATTTTAGGATGGAAAAAAGTTTAATAAACTATAATATGTAGGCATATTTTGTTAAAAGTAACAAGTGGAAAGAAAATTGATTATCAACAAACCTAATTCAATTGTCTTAGGCTGAACAGCTTGAACAGGGATGTCCCACTGATTCAAGATAGCTTATATTTAAGTCCCCATTTAATTCCCCCTGGTTGGTTTTAGGGGGAAATACCTTTAACATGACAGATGTCTCAGACAGCAATGAAAAACATTCTTTTAAGGTACTGGATGTTAGTGTTATATAGAAACACCAGCAATGATATCACCTGATTAAATTATGATCCGTCTAGAGCGGAAATGAGATATTTTGGGTACTGTTTACAGGTATAGTAATGTGATTATTTCCACGAGCGGTAGGAGGAAAAAATTAAACTCACCTTGCTGTACCTGTACAGCTTAGGGTAGATGACACAAAGAATAAGCCACTGGCCGAAGTAGGAAAGCCAAGGTATAGCTGGACTTGAGATGTAAACGGCATTAGAAATTGGCTTTGTCCTGAGAAAACTATAACCATTGCTGAGCAAACTTAGCTTCTTCTCATCCGTCAGTGGCTCGGGAATGACCACACCGTATGCTATACCTAGTGGCCCTGACTGAAAAACAAAAAATAAGTTAAGTTATAAACCTGAATGGTTAAATTATCGTCTAAATAACACAGTGAGACCTTGATAAAAAGTGTAACTTTGAAATCCTCTAGATTTTACTTAGGCTACCCCTATCCAATGTTAGGCCTATTGCAAACATTGATAATAAGTCAACCTTGATAACAAGTCTTATCAAATAACTAGCAAACCCGTTGTGGCATCGCTCACGAAAATTTAAAAAGTTAAATGTTAAACCTGAGTAGGGCCTACACTTCTTGATTTGTAAGTTCATTTAACTATTAAAAATGTGTAATGCAGTTAAGTAGGCCTAAAACATTTTTTCAAGCCACAAAAATAATGTAAATATTTTCATTTCATGTAATAAAATATAACCAGCTTTTCACTAAATTAAAGTACAGATTCCTGAGTATTCGTGTGTTCAAATGTAAACAAATCTTTTCTCCATTAGGATAACTTTTTAAAAGCCACTGGGTCAGAGCCCTGATGGAATTCTTGGGAAACGCTTCTTATTGCGCACATTGATTGGAACCTCCATGAAAATTCCTGAGTTTTATGGCTTGTAGTTCTTGAGATATAGTGATCAGTGAGTGGTATTTGACTTTTATAAGTATAGATTCCCACGAGAGTCTTGTTATCGAAAGTTTTACTGCAGGCCTAAGTTATTTGGTTCAAAAGTCTGAACATTGATGGGTAGGTTCAAACACAATAAAACTACATTTAAATGTTTAGATACAATTATAGGACTATTTCAATCATCATTTTGTTGAAAATCAGGAAAAATTAAATGAGAACTTTTCCTCAGTAGGCCTACTTAGATTTAGCCCAAGTCTGTTATTTCTTTAAATGTGGATTATCATTCAAATAGGCTTAACTCTTGATTTGACTGAAAACAAATAATTGCCTGTCACGAGGTAAGTTAGGCCTCCTTATCAGATTGACTGGGACCATGTCATCGTCCTGTAAAATCCATCTACTTCGAGGTCACGAACTGTGGATATTTATAAGCATGATCTGTTGATGCGATAATCCCTGGTGTGGATTAACATCTGCGCTAGTGAGGACTACAACTATCGGCAGTACTATCCTGATAATTAGGCTAGACCATTTCGTGAATTACATGGCAAATATGTGGTTCGGATTCCACTATAAACTGTAGGTCCCTTAGTTACCATTGGCTGTATGGGCTATTGATTAACAGTCCAGTCTAAGGACCATGGCGGCATTAATCAGTAACAAGACTACAAGATCGCGCCACTCATCCTACACTCATCACCATTCATACTTGGCTTATAATACCTACCTTTGTATGGTCACCATTTCAGATAAAAGTATTTTAAAAAGTATGAAAAGTAGGCCTACAATACGGTGCAATTCAAATTTAATTTCAATTTTCACCAGTAGTCACATTAAAACAACGACTTTCAGTAAAGCGTTTGTAAATCCAGTTTTCGAAGTCTCATAAAGGGTGACACGTGTTAATTAAGTTTCAAGACTGGGGTTATATTATATTTCCTGTGGAGCCTCCGCTTCCAGACCAGGTACGTGGCCCTAGCTGAGTGAAGTTGGTCTCAGGTAAGCGATCAAACCATCTCCAGTTGCTGGCGAGGCGCTAACTTAGAGAGTGAATGCATCACCCGCAAAGTTACAAATTGTTTTGTGATCACGTCGGAGCATAAGTTAGTGAGGATGAAACTCAGTGTTTGGAGGAACAGCGTTATTCCATCAAATTCTAGAGTCAAGAACGGTGTGGAAACGATTCACTTGTTATAACAGGTCCACAAAGAAGACGCTGGCACATGTCATGGTTTTCATGAGGCACAAGTGGTTTGAAGATGGCTGTTAACACGATGATGTGCTGGTAGGCCTGAAACGTTGCAGAAACAAGAAAATCTGGCAAAAGTGCACAAGCATTGTACACTGACCGACACATGATCATTAGACTCATTACGGATGGAACAAATTTTAATTATGGTATAGGCCTACAGTGTTTCAAATGGCTTCTGAAAATTCCATGATGAGGAAAATCTGTGTTAAACTTGTACTGAAATCGCTAATGAATAATCAGAAGCAGTGGCACATGGCAGTTAAACAGACAAACAGATTTTGGCCCAGAACAACGTGGAAATGCTTTAACAGCCACCTTACAACCCGGATATTGCCCTAGGCAACTTCTCTTATTTGAAGAAGGACCTAAAAGGAAAGCATTTAGGTAGCGTCGCAGCAGTTCAAACAGCTTCAGTTCCAGGAAGCCTTCCCACAGTGACAAAAACTCACACTGGCAGCAGTGTGTGGTCTCAGAAAGAAACTATTTTGAAGATTTTTTATCCGCTAGGCCTATATATGTTCAATACTGTATTTATTTTCCTCAGACCAATCTTGAAACTTAATTAACACACCATATAACAATCAATGAGTTCAGTTTTTGTCAGAAAAACGGTTATAATTTAACATTGACACCGTGGAGCCGAAAGTGTTATTATTATAGCAGGGAGTTTGCCAACAGGCTAGCCTCACAAAAAGCTTCATGTAGCAACCCTGATTATCATCCTGTTATGCTATTTTTTCATCTTGGCTACATATCTGAGAGATCAAAAGGAGTTGATCTTCATAATGTGGTTAAGCTCAACTGAAATTTTAGTAATCAAACTATAATTATGTGTGATTAGTTTACCTTGCTTTCATAGAAAATTTGAACTTTGTCACTGGATGGGAAGAGCCGGTAGATCCATTTGATAGCCACAGTAGATACTGAATCAACATAGCCAAACTTGTAAGCTATTGTAAGCCTATTTTCAAAAGATTTCCCAACTTTTACTTGTGCGAAATGAGAAGAAATTATAACAAATACAATTGAGATAAAGCAGAAGAAAATAACAAACTGGAAAATGAACATTAGTTTAGACATGAACCACTCTGCAGTTGATGTGAGGACTATATCACAGTGGATTACGTTCATTAGATCGGTGAAACATAAACTTACTCCACAAAACCCCAAAAATGTTCCGTTAATAAATAAAGCATTCTTGTGAAACATTGTAGGTTAGGTCTAGCTAAAAAAATCAATTAGCCTAGCCTAGAGAAAACTTATTTTAAACAAAAGCATTGTTTCTTCTTGGATTTATACGAAGTACTCTTAACCATGTATTAGTAACCTAACCAGTACCTACTTAGGAATCATAAGTAAAACAAATTTGTTGTAGTTTGAATAAGCACTAAATCAGATACCGTACAGTACTTCTAGTAGGCGTTGCCTAGTCACTTAGAACTTTTCCTAGTCACCATTAGTCAATGCTATCACACCGTTGAATACCACAAGACTTCTTCATTAATATAATTTTCTACCCTTTCGTGCTACAACGTACTCTCTTATGCCTTAGCTTATGAAGACCGAGATAATTTACTACTGTAGATAACTTAACAACAACAAAGTAAAAGTAAACAAAAACTACAACTCTTCTTTCTTCAGCAATCAGCAGCTCAACGTCACGTCAACCGTCAACCCCAACCGCGGCTGGCCGGCTCCGGCTGGTCGCTGGTCCAATAAATAAATCCGAATGCCGGCTCCAGCAGTCAGCTGCTTGTACAAAGTAAGCTGAAATGAAAAAGAGCAAAATGGCGATTGAACAAGGTACTAGCACTTAATTATATATCTTACAATATGATATTATAAATTTCTAGACAGCCTACAGCCATAGAGTTTAACATCTATAACAAATACCTACTTATAATATATTCCAAGAAAGCCTATGCTCGTTCTTAAGTTCACTCCAGGGTTCTAACACAACTACAATTAATTAGCTTAACTCCTAGACCCATGGCCACGAAACTAGGTACATACATGTAGAATTTCATAGAGTTGGTTTATACAGTATACCAGTATACACATCAATTTCGTGGTAGCTTTCAGGGCTTAGTCACGGCCACCTTTAACTCCAGGCCTTGGCCTGGTAGAATTGGCAACGTCGCAAGTATAGTGTTGTTTCGTGTCAGACGTCCCATAAGATAACATGGCAGACAGGTGACATCAGGCTCATTAATTCACATTTTAATGATCTAAATTTATGAACATAAATTGATTAAAATATTGAAAATAAAACTTACGGAATTGAAAACCAAAACAATATGAATTGAAAATCTATATCTCTGTACATTTAAAGCGGAGTCAATATTTTCATAGTCCAGTAAACAAGCTTTCGTAAATACACAAATACCATTAGCTGCTTCCAAACAAAAGAGCTGTTACAAAAACCCTACTTGTGACGTTGCCACTTTGAAGTCCCACGGCCTGGTGTTAAAGGCGGCGGTGGCTTAGGTGCGCCTGTTAGGAAATTTGGAAGAATTTTCGTTGGATTTGTTTACTAAGGAAAAAATGAAAGTATGAAAGTAAAATTTAAAACAGGTGATTTAAACTAGGAGTACGCTTTAGTCTGCACGTTACCACGGCCGCCTTTAACTCCAGGCCGTGGGGTATTTGTGTATTTACGAAAGCTTGTTTACTTGACTATGAAAATATTGACTCTGCTTTAAATGTACAGATATAGATTTTCAATTCATATTGTTTTGGTTTTCAATTACGTAAGTTTTATTTTCAATATTTTAATAATTTTAAAGTTAATAAATTTTTAAATCAATATAGTGCGAATTAATGCGCTGATGTCACCTGTCTGCCATGTTATCTTATGGGACGTCTGACATTAAACAACCCTACTTGCAACTTGCAACGTTGCCAATTCTACCTAACTGAGCCCTAAAGCCAGGTAGCCAGCAGTGCCTGTAATGAGCCCGCGGTCTAAATTGTGCGCTGTGACATTTAGGTTTCTAAGGTTTAGTTTATGGGACTCATGGGAAAAGAAGAAATAATACAAATTGACGTCATTGGTATGTTTCGTTGAGCTATTTAATTGTTTTCAGCCAAACAGCTTGCAGTTATTAAATTTAAAAGTTATAAGTACCATAGATAAAACATGTTTTATCTATGGTAGTACGGTTTAATACAGTAAAATTTGTAATTTTTGTAAAATACCGATTTTATGAGGCTCTCACTGGTAGACCGAGGATTTAGGGATGGCATCATCCACTAGAGCCTACAAATGAAGATCTTATACACAAGGTATTTATACTTTAAAAGGTAGTTTTTACCAGGAGAGGAGGCCAAGTGGGGATTAAGTAGGACTCTTAAATTGTTTCATTTACCATCTTGTGTCTTCTCCACAAATCCAGGAATCGGGGCCAATCGTCACATTTCTTCCTGGGACCAGGGTAAAAAATGGGTTTTGTAGGCCTATTCGGTCTCAGGTCTTGGAAGGTGTGCTCTTCAATGAAATTGGAGACTGTGTAGTATGGCCTATCTGTTAAATATTAGTATTGCTTCTGTTTGCTGTTGAAAGGTTACAGGTTTATCAATGGTTTAGAGTCGTGGTGGTAATAAATTGAAGAATTAAGAGCCATAATAATGATTGTTGTTATGTGTGTTTCGGAGGTGGTATGAATGTTGTTCTGATCTTAGGCTAGGTGTAGATTTTTTTGCGAGTAAGATGGATTCCAACCGGTACAGGGAAATGACTGTAAGGATATTGAGGTCCCTGAAAATCAGCTTGCAGTTGAAAAATTGTCCTTATGGTCTTCTTTTGGATGGTGAGGACGCGTTCCATGTTCTTGGCTGCTGTGGATCCCCAGGCGGCAACTCCATAACGTTCAGACTAATGATGAAAAGAGAACCCTCTATTCTGTTGGACACAGACCTGGGAGTGGAATTATTTGTCAAAATTCTATAGTTCGGGTCAACATGTGACCATGCTCTCACCATTTATTGGAATTTAGCTCTTTTATGACTTGTAGCTGAGGGTTAAGCTTCTGGCACAGAGAATACACTTAACCTCACCATCATGATGATAATAGGGATGATCATGTTCACCAATGGCAGTCTTCGTGGTGTTGAGCTTACAGGCGGAATTTTACCCTACACAGGCAGCGGAAGAAAATGTCTTCTGTGTTATGAAGAGTGCCCAGGCGGTAAACGCAAACAGAAAACACAGCGACTGTGATTAATGGCAGTTTCATGACAATTCAAAACTAGAGATCAGGAAGGAAAAAAAACTTTTTACTGACACTGAAGATTTTATTTCTTGCTACATAAAAGCAACACAAGTAATCTCATACATATTGCTGTTATATTAGAATATGCGTACAATGTTGTAGAGCCGAAATAAAATGTTAATTGACATGAAACTATTGATTATTTCAACTGGTTACATAATCATAAAACTGTATAGGAAAAAGTGTTGTGTTACGGATATAAACTCTGTACAAAAAGGAACCTTCGCGGGTCAGGGTAAAAGGTTCATCAAATCACAAAATATATATTTCTTTATCAAAATATAACCTGTTAAAAGCAGTCATATTTAATACCCATTTAAATTTAGATATTTAAATATTCTACTCTAATTCTGAAATACTTCTACTATGCTAACCACTGAGCTAGATACTATATCTGAGGTAGCACTTGTTTAGAGTTTGACAACTTCTAACCCTGGGTTTGTAGGAGAGGTAAGGTGGTAGTGTAGCCTACCATTTCTCATACATTCAGTGTTAACACAAGACCAAGATTAAAATTATGTATGGAAATTCTGAAACCTTTCCAGTACACAACAAAATGGCCAGCACCAACAAAATCCTCTAGAGAAGTGCTATCTTCTAGATATTCATCCTCCTAGCTCGTGGTACTAAGATGTATAGGTTAGTCAAAAGGATGCTTTAGTAAAGAGAAAATGTATAATAACTAAGGATTTTTACTTGCTAAAATAACATTATTAATATTAATGTAAATTCTCATTGCTTGCCACATTTTTATTATAGTTTTGATAAAATACCACAAACACTTTGATGTTTGCTCGTTCTTTTGACGAACCTATACTAGATAACTAGTTTATAAAATGCATAGCAGAATGATCTGTAACATAATGATTACTAAACATAAAAAATAACAAATTTTTTTCAAACAAAATACTAAAATACTGTAAAGTTGTAAAAGAAAGTTGGGCCTTCCTATAATATTTTAAACAGAGATTTTCTTGTAGATAAAAATAATCTTTGACTGTAAGATACAACTTGACAAATTGTATTTTCATAAGAAGTTATTACTTGGAATCTAAAATACAATCTTTACATGATTAAATAATAAATCAGATAACTAGAGGTAGTACAAAACAAAGTAGTGTCTGGCCCACAGGTATATAAATAAATTAAACCTCTAAACGAAGGAATCTGACATTATTTTGTCTAAAACACGTAAATACACATTTGTTTTAGGTTTTAAAAGTCAATATGAAAATTCTAAAAAAATAGGATAATGTTGTAATTCCTTACAACTAACTTGAAGCAGTCAATTCAAGAGCTGACATCACAAAGACTAAAAAATGGTTACTTAATAAAATGGCGAGTGTCAGATTTATCCACTAGATAATCTAGTGCTATACAAATTAGCAATGTTTACCCGTTTTAATAAGACGAAATATGGATAATGGTTTAAGATTTAAGTTTAAGTCACTGCGTCTTGGTATCTGGTAAATTATTAGATTAAAAATAGCTCAATGAATGCTAATAACCAGCAATATTGAGTATAAACCAATTTAGCAAGTGTTTGGTAATATATTCAGATAGTTTTTATACTTGTCTCATTACATACCTCAAAAGTAGTGATTTGTATTGCTTTTGATTCTTTTAAAATTATATAAATCCCGTACAGCCAACAAGCAAACTTCATATTAAACCCATTTACAAAAGTAGAATGGGCACCCAAAAAAGAATTACTGTTGATTAAATGCACAAATAGCACATCCCAAAAACCACTGACTAGCTGACCACTGCAGTCTTAATTGATGCATAATTTTTAAATTTTAAAAAGGAAAAGCAATAAATCCAGCACTTAAGATATTATTCTATTAAAACAAGATATTTGAAACACAAAACTACATTAGAACCCCACCAATCTGACCTCGGCTAGTCCAACTCCTCGCTTAATCCGACCGTGCCATCACAATTGGTGACAACTTTATCATGGTAATATCATGACTATTTGACATGGTCGTGTGGCGATCATTATCTCCTGCGGCAAAAATCAGAAACATCATCATCGTTATCTACTCATGACATTTATCCTCCAAGATCGGAGCAAATTATTGAACGTCTCCTGCGATCGTGGCAACTAGAGCATTATCATTGACTCCCGCAGTGGTGTGCGATCAATACATGTCAGTAAGTAAATTAATTTTGTCATTTAATATGTTCTTTGGATAGCCCTTTTTTACTGTTCCGACCATGATCCTGGTACATAGGCGACGGATTAGCGGGGTTGTTCTGTAGTTTAGTAAAATAATAATCCATTCTATGTTCGTCTAGTTTTTCCACCTAATTGCAAATAAATAATGTTAAGTTTAAGTTGTAACATAAAATTAACAAAGTTAGAGTTTTATAATACACAACGTAGTATAAACTATACAATGTCCCAAAGTAGACGGTAGTCATTCACTCGGTATGGAGCAGTTTAAATACTTCTGGTTGGTTGTATTCCTGAGCCCTGTCTTCAGCTGTTCTTCCTTCTGAGTCTTTCAGTTTAACATCAGCACCAGAAGCAATCAGTAACTTAACCACCTCGACTCTACCTGCAATAACGGTTCAAGCAGTTAGAATATTGTAGAACATGTAGAACACATTTTTAGACATCACTACTTAAATACATTTTTGTTTTGTAAACAATATTGTAGCCTATTAGACTTTACCAGACATAGCAGCCCTATGTAGTGCAGTAGCTTGCCCGGCACGAGTGACAGCATTGATGTTTGCACCAGCTGAGAGTAGCAGACGACACATCTCAGTGTCTCCCCGGCGCGCCGCATAGTGAAGAGCCGTGTATCCTGCGCCATCTCTCTTATCAACTTCGGTACCTTTGTTCAACAGGTCACGGACACGCTGCTTGTCTCCATCCAGTGCTAAAGGATAACATTAATATTAATCATTTAATTTAGTTTTGTTTGTGAATCAAAATATGTTAGAGTGATTGGGATACATCTAACGTACAGTTTTGTGCGAACTGAAAAAGCATTTTTAGTACCTAACCATAAAATACATAAAAGTTTGTATTTGCATAAATTTGTGTAGGCCTATTACTCCTTACTGTTTTTTTAACGCAACCCAAATAACTACAGCTACTGTGAGACAAGTTTAAACAACAAATCCAGCTCATATGATGGTATCCCTGTTTATTTTTTACTTCATTGCCAATTAGCTAATATGCAAGTTATCTATGAAGCTTAGTGTAACAGTATTGATAATTACGTAAATAAGACGAAATATGGTTTTCTTCGCATGATCAAACAGAGCTTGCGAATACGTCTAGTTGAGACTTGTTCGCAATAAATTCCCAATAACACTGGAACTTATAGATAACTATGCAACAATGCGTATCAGCTGATTGGCAATGAAATTAAGAATACAGGGAGCTTGTATTGTTGTTAAACAGTGTCTTATGGTACTTGTAATTTTGGTTGCATAAAAAAACACCCTGTAAATATATTAACACTTTGACTGCTAATAAAATATAATAAAATTATTAAGGCAGACCTGTTATGTCATTTATATTGAATACAATACAGAATACTTATTCAGTCACAAAAACGTATATTATAAACATAAACTCGACAGGAAGTGATTTCATCAGATTATGGGACACCGGTTACCCTTAAGCACAGAGGATGTTTCCGCCATGAGGGAAGCCGGTGCTGAAGTTGTCGTTCACTAACTCACTCACTAATAACTAATTTAAATCACTCAATTTTTATTTTGTTGCGAGTATAGGTCGCAATTAGCATGATCGAGAAAATGGCCCACTGCGACCTATACTCGCCATTCGACTGCAATGGTAGATTTTTTCTTTTGGCAAGTATAGGTCACCATTTTTGATTGTTCGGGAAAATGGCGCTTGGCGACATACTCGCCATTCGACCGCAAAGGGTTAACTTCTATAGGGCTAGTACAAGGAAAAGCACTCTTTGTCCCCTACACACATGTAAAAATAAAAGAGTGGCTTACATTCTACAGATCCTGCTAGAGTACAATAGATTGTTCAACGCAAACTGAAAGAATATGTCACGAAATATCACCCTCCAACCGAGCCAACAATGGATTCTTACAGAATGAATGTCGTCGGTGAGGTTGTAGTGTTCACCCACCTGCCGTCCAAATGCCACGTTCGAAATCCAACTCGTCCAAAGTCTGCTGTACCGAGGTAACAGCTTGGGGATGATTACAGCTTGTGTGATCACACATATTTTTACTTGAGTCACTGAAAAAAATTAAAATAATAAAAAATCCAGACATATGAAAAAGTTGTCACAAAGTTAAACGAACATGCCCTTCCCACATTCTTTCAACCAAATGAGTAAATTATGAACATAACTTACTCATTTGCGTGAGTGGTTACATTCTTTCAATCTCAGAAAATACATGTGATTACGTATGTATTTTCTTATGTACAGAAATTTAAGTCATGAATCCAGTAACTATTAATTGATTGTGGTTGTACTCACATTCACAGTATTAAGGATGGATTTATTCAATGTGTTGACAAAAACTTTCCCAAAAATATTTGATGATGTATAAAAACAATATAGCAAATTAAAAATGGGTCTAGGAAGGTCGGATTGGAACCAGCAGTAGCAAAAGTATATTTTATCACTAGGGCTTGTGGTGGCTCTTTTCGACCCAAGATCAAGTTCAGGAAATGAGCGAGGGTTTAAAAGCACTTTTTGCCCTTGTTATGAAATAATGTGTTTTTCATCATATAATATTGCACCATTATTAATGATAACCTCTCAAAATTACTTCTAACCTAATTTCATTGCTATTGCAAACAAGCAGCTGTATAGTAAATGGTTTGACTATTTTGTCTATTAAAATTTTTGTGTAGCCTACATTTTATACATCAACATGTTAAGCTACAGCCAATCAAAACAATCAATGCACATTCAATTGCAATTGCTTACAATTGAAGTTTACAACTAATTGAGGTTAAAAAAGCAGATTTTTACTTAGTGAGAAAAAAGCTACTTTAGACCTGCAATGCTATTAAAAGCAGCTGTTTTTTGCAAAAATATGACAAAATAGTTATTTGTGCAACTAGTGAGAAAAGTGAGCAATTGACTCACTCGAGAGAAATCCTTAGAGGAATGGTTTCTCGAGTGAGGCAATTGTACTTTGAACTCGAGTTGCACATTATACTTTTCCTACAGTTACCATAAAACAAATAAATTTGTGAAGAAACATAACCTATTTGATACAGAAGTGAACTTTTAATATAACATTTAGTGTGAAGTGACAAATACAACAGTACAACAGCTGACCAGCTGATTTACAGCCAGTGCTGCCAACACGCGCTCACTATTTTGTGCCTTCACGTTGCAAATCTGGAGTGAGACAATGTTAACATTGTCTCACTGATGAGCGAGTTGGCCACTTTGCTTTCTCAAATCAGTGAGAGAACATGTACATTGTTAGGTAACTGTAGGAAAAAATTATTATTGTCATTGTGAATATTGTAATTGTGCTTGGAGTCATAAAACTGACAGAATAAGGGTGAGGCTAGTGGGTCTGGCTGGGAGTGTGACCAGTAGTCACTGATCCAGAGAACCTAACTGAGTAGGTGAGCTCTCCCATCCTCCTTAATCATATTATTTTTTCTGTTGCTTAATATTTTTGAAAGGATTAACAGCCTATCATATGTTTCCCACAAAAAACACGGTAACAAAACATACAATAACTATTTAGTATTCACACAAACTTACCCAATCAACTAAATTGTACACAAAACAATAGAAAGTCACTTGACACTGAAAGCAACAGTCACTGACACTTATACACTAGAAAGGTCGATGAAGGGTCCAGACGGCAGATTGCTGCGTTCCCATGGTCGAGGTAAGGATACGGTAGCCAAAGAGATTCTCCAGTGCAGTAATGATGAAGAGGGGAGGATGTTTGAAAGATTGTCCGTCTTGACCGACGCGTCCACCGAATCTCTAGAGTTCCCGAGAAGCGACGTCGGATTCAGCTCGAGACAGGCCGAACACTGTGCTCTCCATCCCCTCCACCTTCCCCTTGACTACGACGTGCGGCATGTCTACTGGACTGACGGAGGCTCAGTCACAGGCTCCTGAGCTTGGGGCGACGTAGGAGTGATCTGCACATAGTGTAACTTAATGAAGATTACAAAAATCACAGTAAGGATGTAGTACAGAGCGAAATAGCCTAGAAGTCAAGGATTTTGGTGAAGAAAGCGGGTCAGGAAGGAGGTTGTAGATTGGGAAGGAGTCCATTCTGGTACAAGAAACGCACAACTTAACATTGTACATGTTACAATATTTCTCTGTTCCTGGCAGAATTTTCAAACAAGTAAGGTTTGATAAAAATGCAGTATGTGCCAGTGAAATACAGTATTCTATTGTATACAGTGTTAAGTTGAGAGTCTTTGCAAATTGTGATGCCTGCTGTTCTCTCAACAATCCTTAAAAGTTAAAACATCATATTTGTTCATTAAAACTAGATAAAAACATTAGTCCATAAAGTGGAGAAAAAAATGTTATAAATAAATTTGCAGCCGATATTGTTGTTTTTGTATCACACCTTTCATGCTAGAGTCTTGAACGCGAAATATCTTTAGCTTTGGGCATGATGATGACTGGTTAAAATCGATGGCCATTGTAGTGACTTTTATAACAAGTAAGATTTCACGATAAAATTTTACTGTTGAATATTTTGGGTCATTTTAGAGCAACAGTTGGCCCAAAAGGTTGTCAAATTAAATGATTACTAGGCAAAGCTTGGGTAATACATCTACAATAGCAAAAAACGTTTGCGAAGATGCATAATCGAGAAAATTTACCACGATTTCAATGTGACCCCGGAAGATGTTCACAATGTTCACAATGTCAACAGTTGGTTTTTTTCATGGGCAAACAGACTTTTTTAGCGTTTATCCAAGCAAATACAGTACTATGTTGGGTATAACACCCTTCTAAATTTGTCTTAAATCCAAACAACAACAAAATGGCACTAAATCAGCTTTTTCCGGTAAAATTTCAAAATTCACTTATAATTCCCGGTTTTTCAGTCTGTGGCCCCCTGTTGATTTTTTTCGTATAATCTTACACTATGGCAATCATTTTTTAATGAAATAAAATATGAATAAAAAAGAAAGACTAATAACATGACTTATGACTTAAAATCCGGGTTTACACAATGCCAGTAGGTAAGACAATATTGTCAGAGAACAACTGACTGGCAAGAAATTATTGGCTTCGTGTAAACACTTCAGGCCAATTGCCTTGCCAACTGCCCTCACAATTGCCCTGAAATTAAGTTATCTCAGGGAGTAGACTGAGGACAACGAGCAGGACAAATGGCATCTGAAAAATCTGAAATCCTGTAGTGACGATTGGGGAAGGTAACTCACCAACAGACATTGTGTAAACCCGCCTTAAAACAGAATTAGGTACACAAAATGATGAAAATGGCGGTACATTAATATAATGCATAGCCTACAAATGATTTATGACAACACACATAAGGAAGGAGTAAATACAAATAGTACCACACTGGCAAACATGACCATAAAGCAGCATGTACATGCAACGTGGTTAGACAAACTGGGACACAGATAACATACAAATATGTGGTGTGAATAATGAAAAAGTTATTACGCATGCAATAAATAGATATGAACTACGATCTCTTATTCAGTTGAATTAATAGGTCATTAAAAGTTATTACTGTTCTTCATCAAACTCCTAACAATTAGTTTACAACATTTATATCCATAAACAATATTTTAAAACTACATTTCCAAATGCTTCAGAATCCAAACTACTTCTAACAACTACCCCAAAATACATCGTGAGACTTTTACATTTTAATTCATTTTTCTAAACTTAAAATACTGAAATTATATGAGGGAAATTAAAGAGTTATAACATTGATTTAGTTTATAAATGGCATCAAAACAAATGAAAACAATCCAATAATCAAACAACTATAAGGATCATCTGTAACTTAAGATCTCCAAAGAGCTTGTGTCCCTCCCAACAGCCTATTTTAATCTGACTATAGTGCTGTTTTTTTTTTTACCCCAACACTTTTTCTTTACTTCTACGCCGGTGGCATTTTTACATGAGGAATTACAGTAAGAAGTATTTAAATACCTTTAGGGAAAGTAGTCCATACCCATATGTGTTGTTAATGTGCCAGTGATCTAACTCGTCCCTCCCTCAACAAAGTCCGAGAAGCTAACCACTAGACTAGCAACACACCCAAAGCTGGCTTTATCCTCAATCTTGTTGAAATAACCACAACCAATGAAAAGAAAAGAAAGAATGATCCTGCCAATTGTGAATTGAAGTCTATAATAGTTTCTTATGGTTTATGGGGTCAAACCTATTGAGAAGAGAACCATTGCCAGGAGATCATTGGGGACAATGTTAACAAAAAGGTATGTGTGTGTGTGGTGTATGGAGTTTGAAGGGCATCACATTTGCACGAGGCAGGCTGAGAGTGTCATTCTGTTTTGAATGAGACAGTGGCACGTTGGAAAAATTATGCTTTTGGATTGCAGCGAAACTGTAAGACACTGCTGAACTGATAGAGACCTCTATAAGATTACTGAGGACAATGGTAAAATCTGTTAGTCTAAAATAATCTGATAGTAAAGATAATGGTTCTTATGACAGATTGAAATGAGCTTCTTAATTCCTGACAGCAGCCCAGCCCGTTGGAGACCTTAATTCACTAAGGGTATTTAAGTAGGTATATAGGTCTTTTCAAGCTAAAATAAGTCAAATAAACTGGGCTTCTCCAGGTCTACAGTACTTGACTTTATTTAATTGCACAAACTAACCAGTCAACAGGCAAAAAAACACCCCAAATTAGAACACCGTTAGATTACGTTACGAGGTTAACACATTAAACCAAACCACACTGTTTACCTCAGTTTAATTTTATGGAGGGGGGTGAGACCATAGATTTGACGTTGCGTACAGGCTTTTTGACGATGTCGTTGGGAGCGATTCGGGCGGACAAACTCCTGCGAGTTTGCGAATGCGTTTCTATCAGCTGATCTTGCGGAATCTAAAGCGTGGTTTTCAAGAGTAAAATCTCCAAGTGTTGGTTAACTATTTGTGAAAGCTGACTGTCAAGCAACTACACACGAGATAAAACTGATTAAAAGTTTAAATGTGAAATGAATTATACACATGCGGGAACAAACTTACTGGGAGGGAATGGAAATACTAATAATAGACAAATAATGACAAAATACAATAATTGACAAAACAGTAAAACAGAAAACAGCTTAGTTTTACAGCACTTTAATGATTTTTAAAACATTTGCTTTTAGAAACTGTGCCTAGAAATTGTTAATTCAAAATTTTAAAATAGTACGGTACTATAAAATCAAGACTTTTGATCAAAATTGCATTTGATGTTTCTTGATAAGAAAAAAAAACACAATAAAAGGATTTATGGAAACGTTAATAGGTGTGCATACTGGAAAAAAGAATTTAAAGATCCAAAACCAACATGAATTTATGATCTGAATTAGCTACAAGGGATGAATCCTGTTCAATAATTCATGAATTGCACCCTTAACCAAGTTTTTAAAATGAGTATGATACCTGTAAAGAAAACTTAAATTTGAGTAGTATAATTTACAAAAGTATCACTGTGACTGCATTATTTATACCAGGTATGAAACAAAAATAAAATTTGAAATAAAACTGTATTTTATGGTACTAATCGAATTGATTGTATTATTAAATACACATAGATAAATGCATATGTAGTCAGTCAATTGCTTTCACATATTTCCAAAATATTCTGAACACTTGCCTCTTGAGTCTTTAAAATAATTTTTAACATAAAAGATTGCAAATAAATGTTTCTCAGAAATGTGTGAACACAGACCTAGTCAGTTGCAGACTTGTTATCATAAAATATTATACCAGTCTGAAATTAGCTTGTTTAACCCAGTTCTCTTTCTGAATTGAAAATATTTCCGATAGACATCACAGAAATACTCTTTACAACAACAATTTAAGGATGTAAAACTATGATTGACGATCACCTAAAAACAATATTTATCGACAAACTTGACAAATCACCAAAACAAAAAGGGTTTCATGAGGGACGTTGGGAATATAGGAGTGCTCTGATGCAAAGTAGTTTAGTGTTGTAGTTTTTATGGTAATTGTGGTAATGACTTACCAAAACGTCCCTTCGTAGGGTCCAGACAATCTCGCTCTCACCGGAGCTGCAGACGACGCGATATCCCAGCTCACTCAACAAGTTAATGACTTGGATAGGGTTACCTACGTAACAAAAGTGTGTCTAATCACTTCAGCATTGTAACATTTTATGGAAATGCCCAATTCAACAGAGTGTCCAGCAAGACATTAAAATTAAATTTGTGGACGGTTCCAGGTTTTAGGTTAAACATTTTCATCACGGGTTAAAAAAACTAACTTTTAAGTCGTCTGCCCCCTTCAGTTTAAAAACTGTAAAAGAACCTAAATTTAAAAAAAATAAAACTTTCATACATCTATTACTGATTATAACTTTTTTGTTCATTGTCGTTACCTACAATCACAAGAAGAACGAACAATTAATAACGAATAACAAATAATTTATTACTTGTTTTTAGGCTTTAGTGTTGGTCAAATCCAATAGTTTTAAATCTGAAATGGAGTTTTATAAAATACATCAAAATATTGAACCAAAGTTGAATTGTTATTAAATAAATATGAATTTTAGTTAGCACCATTATTTATACTAAATTAAAATTGTTTACACTAAAATGTAAAATGAAAATACCCGTCATAACCGTAGAGTCGTCACTTTTTCCAGCCATCGTAACTTTCTTAGTACAAACAAGACATTTAAAAGACGATCGAATGAATGAATGAATTACTCTTTGACTAATTTGCAATTACTTTTATATACCAGGAGAATACAAAGTTAACGTAAAATTCACAGATTTTTTCCTTAGCATACAAAATTAACGTTCAATTGGTGGGTTTTGTGGTCGCCTTGATAGCATCAGTAAGAGACCAGATAACTTTTTTTAAACAAACACCTCTTTATAGAACAAAAAATCTAATAACACCAAAGCATCTAAGCAATAAAAACATATGTTCACACCTTTAATGAGAACTCCGTTGAACACAGGGGTTTGGGAGTTGGGGAATCTTTTGGAAAGTGCGGATATCTCGACTGGCTCGAGACCAAAGACAGAAGAGTCGGAGGAGTGTAGTGATGCCTTCACTGCGATATAATACTGCTCTGACATAATGATTTGGGGATCGCTCCTGCAAATCAAAAATATCTTGAGACAAAGTACGAGTAGTTTGTCGTTTGTAAAAATTACCATTCAATGATTGGCCATTTTCACAGTAGCCTATATATTACATTAATAATGAAGACTTTTGTATAGTTTTGTAATTCTGAAGCCACAGAGAAATGTCTTATACTCCATTCACAAAATGTAGGTGTTTTAAGGGAAGAAATCTATCCCCACCAATTAATCCATCATTTAAAACAACAGCTCAACAGCTGAGATTGCCAAAATGTTTGTCAGCTGCAACATATACACAAAAAAATTGTAGAGGAACTTTCCCTAAAGCTGCCTTTATTTTGAGAACGGACTATAGAGCATACAAATCACAGGTATAAATGTCATACCTTAGTTGGTTAAGTGAAAGAAAGGATCAAGTACAAGATTCTAGGGGTTTTTAAGATAAAAATAATCAAAGCAGTTCCAAACACTTATAAACCACACAGGAGAAATGTAACTGTCCATGGAAAATCGAAAAATAATATTAAAGACATTATAAAAAACTCTTTTTATCATCTGATACAGAATCTGACTAGGAAAATTGCCAGATTAAATTATAACAAGAGTGAACTCCAAAAATAAACTGTGAAACCAATCAAAATATCTGTCATGAACAATAAATATAATATGAAGTCAACATTTTTGAAATCGTAAAGCTAACCTTTAATGATTTCCTCAATAAAACCCATATTTAAATAGCATAACATAAAACTGCCTTGACTAATGCTGAAATGCAAACTTGAAAAACTTTCAATTTTTCATTGATTTTTCTCCATTAATAAGCCACTCATTGGACTAAGATAAAATATTTGAAAACATGGGCCTAGCTCAAAAGTTAAGTAATAATTTAACTACGACAAACATTTACAGTATATTTATTAAGGCAAGTCAGAGTTAGCCATTAAATATTTAATCACAAAAAAATTTTGTTTAATGGCTTTGTCGTTTTTGGTAACAATCCTGTTCAGAACTGGGTTTATACTTACGGTATTTTTTTGGATTAGTAATTTTTTTAAATTTTTCCAAAACAGAAAATATACACTTAAGTACTGTACACATAAGTAAGTTGGCACATTAAAAACAGCAACAATATTTTAGTGTTGAAATAATACCCACAAATCATCATAAATTCAAAAAGCTAAACAATAAACATTGCCTGTTATTATTTTACATTGGTGCATAAGTAATTCTAAAATCCTACCTGGGGCTTAACATGATTTTCATCATCATAAGTTAACCAAGCTTAATTTTACAAACAATTTAAGTTTCAATACATTTTAGTAAATTATTTAAACAGAAGTTTGCGATTCAATGAAAAAAAAATCAAAAGAGACATAAATAATTCAAACGAGGCTTGCACAAGGTAGCCTACCTTGGTTCCATGGTCACACTATAACAAATTGATCTGATTTGGTTGCAGTGTTGGGACGGCAGTAGCCATGGTGCTCCCCCCCTCCCACCACTCAAACAACAATGTCAGACATCCATTACCCTCCAGACATTACCTCAATTGGTGTTTACCACATGTCAATTGACCCACTTCATCCCAATTTGGGCTAAGAGTTATGGTTGTTAAAAAAAGATGGATTAGTTAGACCAGTTACAATTATAGCTAATGGTGAGACATGTCTCTTTTTAACAAATCAATCTACGGTATAAGCTGCTTCCATAAATAAATAAATCTTTATTGTCACATAGGCCTACCTATCAGGTACATATAGAATACATATATACAGACATGATACATCCTTACCTGTAAAATAAAAGTTTATTGTTTATTTTTGGTTAAAAGTCATCAAATTTGCAACCAAATTCAATAATTAATTTTTGTGTTGTCGAAAATAGAGTTCAATGAAAACTTGTTAAGGGGATGATTTTAATACGTCAAGTTTTAATTGCCATAAATATTTTACAACTGTGTGTAGGAGTAGTGATTCATATTTTATAAGGTTGGCATTAGTGGGGAATATAGAATTTTTTTTTTTTGGGGGGGGGGGTGCAACATTAATCAAAGCTTAGGTTAAGTAATTTTATGTAGACATTATATCAGTTTGGCTGCTCATATTCAGAGGGGAATTTGAAATGAACGCCACTTTTTACTGAGCTCACACTTCATTAAATCATAAAAAAATATATCCATTAGATTACTTATTTTTTGCTTCATATTCATTATTCCCACCATTTCCTTATATTTGCCCCTGGTTGGCATAAAAACCTTAAGAAACAATTAATTAATTACATGAAAATATTAGTACAGATTACTGGTTGTCTCTTTCTGAATGGTGAAATCTTTTAAAGTTTGAGTAGATAGCCCAAAAGTATTTCAATAATTGAATTGGGGAATAGACTCTGTTAGAATAAGTCATAAAATCAGTTGACTTTAAAGCATTTCAAACCAAAGTATTACTCACGTAAATATAATTGTTTATCAAGTGCTAAAAAATTTACATTTATAATGTAAAATTTAGAGTTACACAATCCCGTTAACAAAGCTCAAAAGATAGATTATTACAATTGTTTAATTATGCAGATTATTAATTTTTAATTCCCACTTACTTGCGTATTCTGCGAGCAATAAGAAGTGATGTTTTACTTGCACATGGTTTGTTCATGTTGCACAAAACATCAAGAATGCAATAATGGAAATGATATCAGGCGTTATCTTCTGATCAATAAAGGTAAAGTCATTAACTGACACAATAGAACTGCCAATAAAACAGATAATCTATTAGCTATCATCGCCCATTGTTTTTATAGCCTGGATCAGGGGATTTTGTAACTACAATGACTTACAAAAACAATATAAACATGTTGTTAAGGGATCTCAGGTATGATTTAAAATACTTCATCTTGAACAATTCACAAGTACCAGTAGGGTGACTTGCCCAGTGAATGACCGGTTAAGGGTAAAATTCTTTGTTAACTTAACAATGCTCTTAAATGAGAGTATTAATTATATATATAATTACACCTACTTCTTGGTTGCTATTTAAGGGTTTGCCCTATATCATAAATTGTCCATAAAAGATCAATTATGCATGTAAAAATTGTTTTTTTATACACCAAGGTCATGAGTCCAGTAAATGACCGATGTCATGCCAGTGAATGACCAGTCCTATGCCAGTGAATGACCGACTTCGGAAGGTTTAGTAAATCACTTATAAAATCAGTAATATACAAAAAAGGGGGATTTATATTGTTTAAATAAAAAGTTAATAGGGGGTCTCCAGACTTTTTATTAACCCTGTATATAAAATAGTGTCAAAGGAAGTATTTTATTCATTATATTTCTATGTAACAAAACAATAGGCCTACAACTCTAGATAAGAATTTATTTGTTTAATGTCATTATTGTATTTACTTATTTTTTATCACAACACCTGGTGGTTTTAAAAAGATACCTTGGGAAGTAGACGTACAAAGCTAGTAAATAGCCTACTCTCTTGTAAAATAAATAGGTTTGTTTACTTGTTTTTATCATATTTAAAACAATTTTCTTAGAAACAAACGTAGGTCTTACCAAGCAGTAGTAAAGCGACTGGATGAATCAAGCTAACTATAATGTCTAGATAAAGTTCAAAGACAAAACGCTGTTAACAGACAACAAAGATAATGATTATCTATTGCTTCATCTGATAAATGGTGCAAGACCCATTACTGCTCTAGTGCACAAACCCTGTTTACCTTTTATATTTTGCAATGTCTGAGTGATATTAACAGGAAAACATTAATTTGGTCAACTGAAGACCGATAAGAACAGTTTGAAAAAAAGACAATAAATAATCTTTTATGAGTGGAGTACTTGCTTGTGACTTCGATATGGGTTTTTCAAATTGTAGGAAAATTCAGACATCACTTTTTAGCTTTAGTCTTCTAATATAATTGCAAGTTGTGGGTTAACATAGACCCTTTTAGATTACAAAAATCTATAAAATTGAGGATATTAGGCTACAGTATATGTATTGTATTACATTATTAAGAATAGGAGGCTTCAGTCTGTGCGTATGTTTGTTCCATGTGAACACAAAAACTATCCAATCTACTGGGCTGAAACTTAACACAAAGGTACATCACAAACCCTGCCAACTCATAGGCCAATTCATTTCCTTACAACCTTGGACTATGACCGATGTACATACAAAGTTTCGAAGGGAAGCGTTTTGAAGGTTGGTTACAATGATGACATAATATCTATCTAACATTTCAAAGAAAGACCACAATGTTTACAGTCATTCTACTTTGTTTGCATTATGGTAATGTTATTGAAATGTCACACTGCTGATTTCAGAGAGTCTAACACTAATCAAAGATTTTGTAAATGTAGCCTACAATTTATTCTTTTATGCCTCCATAGGCTGTCAAAGCACAAGTAAAGCTAGTATAGTCATAATCAGTGATATATCTTATCTGCAGACTCTTGCACACCCAGTTACACACCTGCATATTTGTGGGTCCTTCACAATGTCAATCAAGTAATCTATCCCACCCTTTTTAAGAAATGTGAGGATTATTCAACAAATGTCAATGGCCAATGTCGTAAACTTTTTTAAGTTGCTATACAAATACAAGTATAACCGCGACGTACAATAAAGCAAATGTTCCTCTAAGTGAAAGATGAGTAATGAATGAACGAGATGACATCTTTCCTGACTAAGATCAGCTGGTTCATTAGCCAGGACCATTTATTAAAAGCCAATGATGGACGGCTAGGTACAGGTTTGAACCGATAAAAAGATTTGGACTTCTCTGACGATCTAAACAGCAAACAACAGTCATCAGGTGGCATGCAAAGTCGTATGTAACAAGTGAGCTCTCATAAACCGGTTTTGTAGCAATTTAGTTGGATACAACTCCTGGAAATCCTGGAGAGGAAAAGTCTCAAATAATTTATATGGTTGTGGAATTGAAACTCAGGCAAGTCAAATAATAGACCCTTTACAAGCATTACCAGGTGAGACAACTTGACTACATAGGGATAAATCTACTAAAAGGGAGTATGTTTTATCCATGGTGTTACTAACTATTATTTCCTATTTTTATTCATGACTATCTTTACTTACTTGGTTACTTGGTAACTAAAGGAGGCTCAGGCTCACTAAAGTCTTTACGCATCGTCCACATATACTCGTTGTAATCTTGCTTTACCGCAGTAGAAGATGAAGCAACCACCTACAAATAATACTGCTGTTAGCTGGCGACAAAACCTTACATATTAGCATTTTTAAGTGTTGTGAACTGAAATAGTTTTTAACATGTTCCAATAGTTAGTTTGGATAAGATGACAATTTAATTCAATTCAATTCAAATTCAATTCAAATTATCTTTATTCATCAAGTAATTGTAGTAATCAACCATCGATTCTTCCAAATGTTCTTTATATTATAAAACAAATTCCAGTACCTTCCAATAAGTGAGTTGAACAAACTACAGCACAAACTCACAAATCCGTCACCTACAAGACCGGGATCATGGCCAGAAGAGTGAAAAGGTTGAATATGATGAGCAGCATTGTTAGGATTTTGCCATGATAACGGAAAATGATGATAATGGTACCGTGATCGCAAGAGACGTGCAATATTTTGCCGCAATTTTTGAAGATTATAAAGTTTTTGTGATCACGCAAGATGATTATGATTTCTCTAATTAAATATTTTACCGCCATCCCAGTAGACAATGATAATTTTTTCCATGACTGCGGGGTTTGTTTAGGATTTTTTTGTGATCACGGTAGACAATGATTGCACTGTTAGTATCAGATGTTGGGGAGTGAGCTGGCGTAGTGGTTAGAGCGCGGGACTTCAGTCCCTGAGGTCCCGGGTTCGATCCCCACCAAGTCACCAAATGAATTTTATCTAAGTGATAATGCTGCAACCCCTAGGTCTAGCCTGAAGTAATGTGAAAACAATCCCAGGCTCGTGCCTAGCGTCCTAGGACAACAACAAAATATCAGACGTTACCTAGTATCTCACTGTTAGTATCCGTTGCCGCAGGGATGTCCTAATTTTTTCCATGATCAAGGAAGACGATTATGATGTTTTTATCAATGCAGAAGATATCCAGAGTTTATCTGCAGTCGCGGATGACTATGGTAATGTTCCGTAACCTCGAGAGACATTCAATATTCTGCCATTACCACTGAAGACAATGATGATGTTTCTGTTACTGCCGAGTATATTCAGAGTGTTGCTGTAATCGTGAAAAATGTTTCTGTGCCGACGGGGGTTAAAAATATCTTTGCCCCAAGTGCGGGACACGTTGGACGTCCACAGGACCATGGGAAATGGTCACAATTTTACCGTGATAACATTGTAACCGATAGCGGTGGCACTGTCAGATTAAGCAAGGAGTCAGACTAGATGAGTTTGGATTAGCGAGGTTCTACTTATTTTAAAAATAACTCCCTTAGATAAGTTAGATATCTCAAATTTCTAACTGTATAAACCAGGTTTATACTTCTTGGAAATCACATTTTAAATTAAATGGATTCTGGTGGTAACTTAATGTATTTTAATGGAACATCACTCTATACATAAATTTAGAACTTATTTAGATGGCTTACACACACACTAAAACCAAGGCGGTTCACAAACTCGACAACTTTTACAATAAAAATCTACCTTCTACAGACTTGACTTAGGTACCTGATAACCGAGCACTTCAAGAGCAGTAAGAATAACACAGGGGTGTTGGAGGTAGACGATCGTTGACTCGTCACAGTAACCTCCGCAAGCAAACCTCTTCAACTGTTCTATGTCCTCAGCTGTAGGAAACAAACATTCACAAACAACTCAGAAGGTTAATTGAGTAATAAATAATTTCTTGTGGTTGTATATATATATAGTGCGATGGATATAAAGTCAAATGTTTGTTCGTAATAGCCATTTAAGGTTATGAAAGCCTATGAGAATAATATTTTACAGTTTTCTAAGCTAGACCCTTGGAAATTTTAAATTTGACTCTTACACAAAATTCATATTTCCAGTAAGCCTATATAGGTCTACCGGATCACTAAGTTAATAGGTACCGATATCTTTGAAAGAGACACAAGTTATTTAAGTTTTAAAGAAAACAGGATGTGTTTTGTTTGGTTTTTTCCATCACAGACTCTGAAAGAGCAACAAAAATGGACTCTGGCTATAGTTGCATCAATACTTAAAATCAAATAAGAACCTCTTCCTAGGAAATTTACTACAGTAATAAGATTTTATACTTTCTGTTGAATTTAAAATGTATTTCCTATTTAATTTCTTTAAGTGGCAGCAATAATGTTCGAACCCAAAAAGCATTCCTAGAAATTAGAATACTCATTATATTACACTCTCCTCAACTATTAAACTTGGTTTATAGAAATTGTATTATAACTAAACAAGATACAAGATACAAGAATACTTTATTTACAATCTTTAAGATTGAAAGGGCGTCAATACAGAATTGTGCAGTTGCTATATAAAAGTCAATACAAATTGTTATTTTATTTTTTAAGAATAAAAAATAACTGATCAGAGTTCTTATATAACTAAGTATAAACTAAATACTTAAGCAAATGAAATATAATAAAAACCAGAGTAGCCTATGTTATACCCAATAAGTAATTGGAGCAATGCTGTTGGAATATACAAGGCTATTTATAAAACGTTGCAAAACTTCCCTCTGTTATTCCAGGAATATATTCAGGTTTATGTTAATGATTAAATTTAGCATTCTCCAAACAGTTATAAAATTCTCACTTCCACCATCAAATGTGTTAAAATACTAAGAAACTGGGTATTAATCCTATACTCTTACTCCTTTAACATTTAATATCTTCAATAACATTGAAGTGGTTTTAGATTTAGAAGCATTTTTTTTTTTTAGTAGGCTACCTAATATTTTTTAATATGACATTAGAGTTTTAGGAAAAAGGTTTAAACCTAATCATCAATAGTGGAAAAAAATGTGTTAGCCTACCCAGTATGGAATACACCTCCTTTTTATCATAGGCTATTGTAAAAGCTCGATTAACAGGGTAAAGAAAAGGGAGTATAACCACAAATAACCTGACCACAGCCGATCTCACTTGATTAAAATATTCCCTTTTGAACACATTATAAGAGGTTAAAAAAAGATTTTTTTACCATGCAGTATAAAAATAATGTAGGGTTTTTTTTATTCAAGAAAAACTGAATGAAAAGTGCACATCTATAAATAAATATTTATCGCAAAAGCTGGCTAACCGTCATTACCATGTAAAAATTAAATTAGGGTAAGTGACTTAATAGCCTACTAAAGTTTCTGGCAAGTGTTTGAAGAAGGCTGAACATATTAAGTTAGTTGTGACAAAGCAAGAAGGATAACAAGAATAAAACACAAGAACCTCACTTTGAGTTTAATTCCTCATTTAGAAGTAGGCCTACAAATAAGTAACAACCCTGTACCCTATATTTTGTTATCACCTGACATCATTAATTTGGTATTATACCGACCACACCGATAAATCAACTTCCAAATAAGATTTTAATTAGTTTAAACAACAAAATCTTCCTAACCAAACCAAAAACATAGTCCATCCTTAGGTTCTAGGTTAGGAATTATTAGGTGTAGTCATCATTATACCAAAGTACCCTGACATCTTTGAAAGAATGCATTTTGGTCATATAACCCTTCGGCTGCCTTCTAACTTACTTTAAATGTGAGTTAGAACAAGTTAGGTTCAAAGGTTTGTAAAAATAGGTCTGAGTTTAACTATTACATTAGCATGTATAGCCTATATTTATTTTCAAAAACAAATTTGTTCATAATTAAATAAAATACTTACAACAATTATCCTAACCTTAACAAAATTTAAAACAAAGGAGTTGGGGCCGCTAATAAATTCTTAACTAAACTTAAAATATTAACTTAATTAGGCCTTGACTTTCTGGACAAGCTTAAGAATGTTATTTAATATTAGGCATACAGATTAGTACGGTATGGTTAAATTAGCCTACACTAACCATTAGCCGGATTCCCTTAACCAAAATGAAAAATCAGGACGAGAAATAAAAATAAGGGGGCATTAGCCTCACCTTTTAATCCAGACACCAATACTCTCCACGGATATCGGTTATCATAAGAGGCCAAATTCCCTCGGACAATAATATAGGGCATCGAAAAGAGGGATGAAGTCTGAAAATCGCATAACACTTTTTCACTTAATAATAAACAAGCACAACTGATTTTACTTAGGCTTACTAGAATATTGTTTAATATATTTTAGACTGACACAAGGCTAGCCTCCAAACTTGCTGTACCATTTCAAAATTCCGTTTGATAGGCTCTAACAGAAAAGGCATAGGCCTAGGGGGAATATCAAATGGAATTTTGAAATGTTATAGCAAGTTTGCTTAAGTTAGTTAGCTTAGGATAGTTTAGAACAGTTCAATTTCAATATAAGTTAACATAACATATTTTTTAACTGTTTGTTGGTAGTGAAAAATATATATTTATTGTAGTTGTCAGCTAATAAGTTATGTTTAAATTTATTAATATAGATAGCCTATATCGAAAATAAATCATAGGCTAGATAATAATGAATGTTCCCCTCAACAGGAAAGTGCCATAACTTCTTCTAGACTGCAACAAATCATGAAAATTTGGTAGGTACGGAATAAATAACTTGATGTCGTCCCATTAAAAAAAATATATTACAGAAAACACAATTTTATGAAACGAGATATTGTGTGAAATTACAATAAATTAAGTTAAGCCTAAAATCTTTAAAGTTCAAGTTATGTGTCCAATGATGGCACTGTAATGCCGAAATGGCCATAACCCGAGGTACAACACATTGAGCAGTGGACAAAGGTAAAAACCTATTTTTAATAATAAATAGGCTACCTCCTTCTTCACCAAGACCAGCGATGACGGATAAGTTAGGTTGTGTCAATAAATAATACTAAAAATACTATAAAAATTTCTTTACGGAAGACTTAAAAACCCAACAAAAAAATCTGGTTGATTAAAAATTTTTTTATTAGGACTACCCTACTTATGATAAGTTAATGTTGGGAATTGAGTGAGCACGGGTAACTTACGGTTTCTTAACTGGGCTACGCTACTATCTATTGAAAATATCGATTCGATTAGGGGCCTAGTAACCTAAACCTTCATTCTATTTTTTGGTAATACAGTAAGTTACTGAACTTATACTACTTATGTTATAGCATATTGCATTGTTTCTTAACTGGACTAAGCTAATCAATTGAAAGTATTGTTTAATAATCAATATTTTTACTACCTATATCAATTGTAAAATTAAACTGTCATAATAAAACCTAACTAACCAAACTTACTGATAGTGAACAATTAAATAAAGGTTTACTAATAGAATCGATAGTCCTAGTAACCTAGCATAGCCCAGTTAAGAAACTGTACCCTTGAGGACATCAAACACAGGAAAGCGATCCTAACCGTTCAAATTTATTTGCCTAAATTAATAGTGATGCGCAATTGCGAGATGTTTGAACAATCGAAATGTTCTTTCTCGAGATGTTCCGCTTATCGATTGTTTTGATTGCTTAGCGAGGGTTTGTACAATCGAGATGTTTCTCTCGATTGTTGCATTCGTTAAGCCTTAACGTCTGTTCGCATCACTCACTGTCTACACTTCATGAGAGTTGTTACGAGGAAATTAGGCCTAGTTCTTTTTCTAGATTCTTAAAGAATAGTAGACTATTATGCACAACATATATACTGCTGATATATAATCAAGCACTTACGTCACTCCGTCATGGCAACAGCAATAGAAAATTATTTTAAAGTAACGGGTAATGGTAAATAATACTGTTAACATAACATTTATGAGAACCTTCTGTCTCGTTATACTTAAACATGTCGATTTAAATACAACCATTTTGTTTGTAAAATATATCGTCTTGTCAATCGCTTTTATTGAGTAGTATTAAGTCACTATTTCATAGATAAAGAAAGTAGGCTTTATATCCATAAATATTCCTTGGTTTTGAATTAAGATATACCTCTTATTGGCCGGGGGCCAATACCCGGCAGATACAATAGAAATTAGATTATAACTTAATAATTGACAATGCCACACTTAACAAAAAAATCGTCATGAACATCTCGATAAACCTCTCGGTTCTCTAGACGAATGCGAGATACGAGAGAAGAGAAGCCGAGCTGAAACGAAACAATCGTCACGTACATCTCGATAAAACCTCTCGCTAAGCAAAAATACAATCGAAACGTCTCGAGAGGTTCAAACAATCAAAACGTAACGTTTCGATTGTAACATCTCGCAATCGCGCATCACTAATTAACTTAATAGGCAGAGGAAGTTAGCAACATAACTCACAATGTTATGGATTTCGTTGGTTGTTACAACTCTTTTTTGTGTGAAAAACAGTGTGTCATTAATTGTTAAAGAAATGACAAGCAATTTTAACCAAAATCTTGTTTACATTCACATCTCATAACCTAAAAACTAGAACATGATCTTGCACTACAGAATAAATCCGTCACCTAAAATGTAAACATTTTCCTAACTATCTATTTATTTTATGAATACCTTGATAACGAAATGTTCAGTGGTTTTCAAATCATCAGATTAGTTGGTGAAACTAAAGTGAAATCCAACACCAAGTTTGACAATCGGATCTCGGTCCTCGGAATAGTCGGAATTTGAGTTTTTTTTTACGATTGCTTGAAGATTGAGATTGATTGAACTTGAACACGAAAACGATAACGAACAGTGACAGTACACTAGCACTAGGCGTGGAGTGGAGTGAAAGCGAAAAGAAAAGCAAACAGCAGATTAAAATTTTGGAATTGGACTTGAATTCAACCAATAAATTGCTTTACTTTTATTTGATCTGAACTCTAATCCTAGTCCACTCTAATGTTTAATCCTCCTAGCTAGAGTCCAATCTACTCTACTCTCTGGCTCTAGCACAGAAACAGATGGAAGTTGGAAGTGGCAGCACTGTTGCCGGTGGGGATTTACTCAAGGGAGGTACAGAAGAGGATTCGATGACGTCAGCTGTCAGAAAAAAAGTTGTTGACGTAATCGATTGAGCGATCTGTTGAAGGTGGAATATCGTACTCGTACTAAGTTTATCACTATCGTATCGTTTCGACTTTCGTTATTGTATGGCTGTCGGCTGCCGTTTGTTTATGTTTATGTGCTTTCCTCATCACTCTCCTCTCCTCCTTCACTTCAACTAAGTTACTAAGTTTAAGTTTACTATTTATTTATAGGCCTACATACAGTTTAAAGTTAAAGGTAAGTAATTATTCCTAATTAACTTTTGAGGTATTAATAATTAGGCTTAAGTTATGGCTATTTTTAATTTGTATTATTGACCACATGATAGTCCAAACCCAGAAAAACCTAATCTTAACCTGATTTGCTTAGTTAATATAGGCTAGGCATAGGCTAGTCATTGATTTGTGTTTGTAAAAGTCAGGCCCAGAGTAGGATGACCAGGTTGTTTCAGAATAAAAACAGGACATTCAAACAAATCTCGGCCTCCCCCGTAACTTACAACACACACCTGAGTGTCTAATTAAATTACACAGAGGGTCTCTTATTTGCAAATTTTGTTGAGGTAGAAATCAAGTACGTTTAGGCCCTTTTATCAACCTGTTTTTAAGCTTTTAGACCAGTAAACTTACCTAATCTTATTTTCCATTAAAACTTATTTACACATCACACGATTGTCATAGTTGTTTTAAAAATACATTAATGGCATGCAGCTAGGGGCTAGGCAAGGTAAATACTTTTGTGAATCACCACATAGGCCAACTGAGAATAAAATAATCCAACAAATTTTAAGGGTTTTAGATCTTAGGGTACAGTTTCTTAACTGGGCTATGCTAATATCGATTGAAACTATCGATTCGATTGGCAAACTTTCATGCGATTTTTTCACCATCAGCAAGTTTGGTTGGTTAGGTTAGGTTATGATAGTTTAATTTTATAATAGATATATTTTTAAAAATTTAAAATATATTTAAAAAAATATATATTTTAAAAATATCGATTATTAATCAATATTTCCAATTCGATAAGTTAGTTTCAATTGATATAAGCATAAGTTAGCCCAGTTAAGAAACTGTACCCAGATCTTATTACAAGATTTATTACGGGTACAGTTTCTTAACTGGGCTATGCTAATATCGATTGAAACTATCGAATTTGGAAATATTGGTTAATAATCGATATTTTGAAATTTATCTATTAAGTTATAATGTAAAATTAAACTATCATAACCTAACCTAACCAACCAAACTTGCTGACGGTGAAAAAATCGCATGAAGGTTTACTAATCGAATCGATAGTTTCAATCGATATCAGCATAGCCCAGTTAAGAAACTGTACCATACCCTTTATTACTAATAAAACATAGGTGGTAATAGCCTACCGGTATGTGAAACTAAGTTATTGATTTTAAGTATCATGAGCATCTTAAATTTAATTTTGTTATCGTTAATTTGTATGCTGGGAATAAACTTAGGCCTACAGTTAACTTATAAATTACAGAAATTCATAATAAACTAAAAAAATGTTTTCTGTTTTGTTCTAAGAATAACTTGCTCACTTGCTTAAGAATAACATTAGGTTAAGTTATCCTTTTCGCAGAGGATACGCAACCGGGACCGTGGACGTGGATTATGCGTCCGGCAGTTATGCCTACAGTTATAACCTAACCTAACCAACCTAACTTGCTGATAATGAACAAATCAAATGAAGGTTAAATTCTGTTCATAAAATAAAAATAAATGCCAAAAATTCTAACTAAAGATGTACAGTTAAGAAGAAATGGGATTCTAAGCAAAATCTTTGACAAAAAGTTAGTAACTTCTAGGGCCTATCACCGATGTGATTCGATCTAGATACCTCATGTACATCAGCCATGTACTTAATCTACACACCACGAACACCAATGGCTAAATATCGTATCGTTGTGGAAATGGTGTTCCGGTCCCCCACAACCCGGTGAAGTCAATGCCGGGTGCCTAAGTAATCCACATTCGGTAACCAGACGCGTATCCTCTAATCTGCGTTTTTTTTTTTTTTTTTTATATAAAGCAATAGGCCTTATTTACTTAAAAAAGTTATAACCAAACAAATTGAACAAAAAACCAAAGTGAACTTAACCAATTTCAAATAATAATAGGCCTAAGTTAATACTATCTATAACCCTCTAAGATTTAGCCAATACATAGTGTAGGCTAATTGAGTTAAAACTTTGATATTCAAATTCATCGCCTCATATTACTATTGGTGTTTACAAACAAGTCAATCTATTGATTACCGGTACCTAAGTTATTTCACCTTCAATTAGTTACGGTAATCATATAGCAATAATGGTACATTCATTGAGTAGACCTAGGCCTATTTATTGTAAAACAAAAGTAAGAATGTAATGCATAATACGCTATGGTTGACGCGCCGAGACCCTGAGTCCTTATCTAACCCAACCCAACCACAATGCCATAATATCATTGTTTTAAATTATTCAAAAGTGTTATTATCATTAGTCGTAGAATCAAATCCAATCGACAAATTATAAATATGAACGACTAAGATTGATTAGTAAGAACAAAGTAGGCCTAACTTACTTATAGACTAAATTTTGTGTAGGCTACTTCAATGTGTATCGGCAATCAAACTGTCGATGTGTTCACATTTTGTGTTTTTCATACTAACCGATTAAACTGTCAGCACATGCAGGAGCCCGGAACATTTACATTCGAAGATAATGTGTGTTTTTAATAACTTAGCTGATTTGTTGTCACGTCAATTTATTACACGTTCTTATTAGAATATTTTGAAATAATGCCTTAGGCCTATGCAAATATTTAAATAAAATGAGTAATGTTAAACTCTACTCTTTGACAAGCAGTCCTGATCATTCAAGACCCCAGCATGATTAATATTGACTACAATCATACCGATAATTAAGTTAATCTATTATATTTGTTTCAGGGCAAAAAGTGCTGCTGTCGCAACCATCAATGATTAGGATTGGAGTGGACGAAGAAACATTTATTTCCATTTTATTTGATTTTAAAAGTTTTTGTAATTTCTTTACATAATTTGGTTTTAACTTGCATAGAATATAATAAATAGTTTTGTCTAAACTTTGAGTTTTTATCCACCAAAAGTTGAAAAATAGATTTATTTTTTAATGTAAAATTTATAGTTGAAATAGATAACTGAACCAGACACTTTGTGTGTCACCAAAGATTGCGGCTTTTCACTGTTTTAGTCAAATAATCGTAATGTCCAATTGTACATAAATCGAATTACAGTTTTATATCAAATTGATCATCAATTGGACTAAATATACACATCAATGTTTGTGATGTTTGTACATTCATTGAACATTAAATAGTCTCAATTTGTACAAACATGAATGTGCATATGATGTTCACTAGATGACCAATTGAATCTTAATTTAACCTAAATTGAATAACAATTTGATGTAAAATTGATCATCAATTGATTGAGATACGCACATCATATGTATATCGATGTTTGTGACGTTTGTACAATAATTGAACGTTAATAGTCGTAATTTGTACAAACATGAATGTGCATACGATGTTCAGTTGAACATTCTTGAACATCAATTTAATGTTCAATTGATGTACATGTGTTATATGGGTAGGAACATATTAAAGTGATGCAAACAAATGTTATGTAAACGGTTAAGGCCATTTACCAAATAAAAATATAGACATATGGAATATCAAAATGAAGCTTAGAGTGTGTAGATTTTCTGAAAAGTTTTGATATGGACAAACTCCCTAAGAGGTCTGCCCCACAGACTGATTTCCAAAGGGCTACGCCTTGCATGTTTTGGAAGTTAACGTTATTTGAGTAATTTAGTAAACAACAGCTGGCCAATGCAATTTACAATATAGTTTGTTGGTTTGGAAAATCATTCAAATCATCTTGCACTTAATTTATTGGACAATCACAACACCATTTACAGACTGAAGCGACATACGATATTGGACCTACCATTCAGATTCGGCTAAGTGTTATCAAAATTCTCTTTGTTTGCTAGTGTTGACGGTGGTCAATCACTAGCTCATGTTCTTCAAGTTATTTTTGTATTACTATTTATATCATTTGCTTATTGTTCAACTTGAACAGATTGTAAATTAATTAAGTTAAAAAAAAAAAGTTCTTAAAAGAGGTGCGGTGAATAGACAGTGAAGCTATCTCTAGCCGTTTGATACAAGCGAGTGGTTAAAGGTGTTCGAAACACGATGAATATGAGATTAACAAACCATGTATGTCGTTCGTTCCAAGAGGTTGTAACCGATTTTTAACAGGTCGCCATTTCATTGACAAGTATTTAAGTAAAGTATTAAAGACATGAAAGAGAGCGGCGAGTTCAGGTACAACCCTACCCACCGTAAGACGTAAGGTTTGAAGGCTCCAATGCTTTTTTACCATCCTTTCAGATGACAATTTCTCGAACTTGGGCCCTTTAAATGAAATATAAAGTCAAAGTTGATTAAATTAATTTAATGGTGGCTTCTGTACACCCGTGAATTTGCGGGTAGAACCTCTTATATTGTTAATAGCAGTTTTCTTAGACTTAATAATATATTTTATCTAACAAAGTAATGTACCGGTAATGTCAAATCTGACGTGAGAAGCGAAGAGAGGATGATATGTTGTGTAAGTGCCGTATCTTTTCCTGCAATTTCGTTGATCCTTTTTATTCCAAAAACTACAGTTTGAAACTATTTTATGCCAAATTTATTTTCAAAGTTAAGGTAAGTTTTTTCGATCTATTGTGAATCATAAAAATTAGTTGGGGTCTATTATTGTTTTCAATTTAGGATTGTTGTTATCTTGCACTAGGCCTATATCATTATTCTGGTGGAAAGGTTGGTGAGATTTACATCCCTGGGTAAATCTTGACACCATCTTTGACCAAATGAAATTATTTGTACAGGAATATTATAGTAGCCTACCCGTTATAGCTTGCCTATATTCGATTAGGTACGTTAGGTGTAGCCTACCTATACATTATTCAAAATTCTTTATTGGGAGGATACAACATAATAAAAAAAGCAAGACTTGTCCGCTTTAAATTATCAATAGTGCTGATTGATAGTGTTGATTTTTTTTTATGGCATTCTTAAAAATTAACTCCAAGACAGAAACTGGCCTAAGTTAATATAAATTGGCTTTGGAACTGTAATGAAAATGAATGCCTTTGAACCAGTCTTTAAAAGCTAAACGAAAAAGGGACCTAAATAAACCATTTTTTGCCAAGTTAACCAATCATTTCAAGCTAAAGATTTCTATTTCAACCGGTATATTTAACATAATTGATAAATGATTGATCTTATTTCATGGAAGCCCCTGAGTCTAAGTTTGGCAATGTTTTTGTAAATAGAGTATAAGCATGGTATAAGTTAATACCTTGGATAAAGAACACTCAAACTGATTAATTTTTATTTATGTTAATACAGTATGAGTATGTTCCCATAGTGAGGGATTTCGCGGTATATTCCATATACACAACACACTGTCAATTTTTTTCAAGTGTCTGTCGTAACATAACCACAAACCAAACAGTCCGATTACGATGACGTAAACGTACGACTACGATGGGCAAATATCGATTGTAGTAGGATCTATCGATTATATCGATAGTTGGCGACTGACGACTCGAGTACTCGACCGAATCAACGATGACGTCATGGCCTGATGTGCTCTCTAATAGAGCGCTGTTCACGGAGGAAATTTGAACTAAATTTGCCTCATTTGTACCTCCCTTCAGTCAGACCCGTTGCCGGTGTGGGTGAACACTGTTTCCCATTCCCCCTCGTGTTTCGTGTTTTGGATTCGATAAACAAACGATGTAATTTAAAGCTAACCTCAAAAGTTTAAAGTTTAAATATTTTCTTTACATCAAGATTTATTTTGTGTACAAAGTAAAGAAATAGATTTTTTAAGGACGCAAGGGTAAGTATTTCAAAATTATACATCAATATAAAAAAGTTATTTTAGTTATTTACATTCTAATTTACATAAGTAAGTTAACCTTGCATGCTTCTAAATGTACTGTAATGTAACACTTGGCCACTTCAAGTAAATAATAACCTAATTTATACAAATTTATGTGGGTACAGTTTCTTAACTGGGCTATGCTTATATTGATTGAAACTATATCGAATTGAAAATATTGAATAATAATCGATATTTTTAAATATATTTATTATCAAATTAAACTATCATAACCTAACCTAACGAACCAAACTTGCTGATGGTGAAAAAATCGCATGAAGGTTTGCTAATCGAATCGATAGTTTCAATCGATATTAGCATAGCCCAGTTAAGAAACTGTACCCATTTATGTTTTTTCCGATATTGAAGACTTAGGCTACTTCATTAAAAATTTACATTGAGTTCAGCATGATTACGAGTGGGGGGAGGGGGGGGGTCTATGTTAACATCGAACGTAGCCTAATTGCCAAGTTAATTTGCTTAGCCTTGGCTAGGTTTGATGTCAATTTGGTTTTAAGTCAGATAATTCTTTAAAGTGATGCGTAATTGCAAGATTTTTAAACAATCTAAATGTTCCTTCTCGAGATGTTCCGCTTATCGATTGCTTCGATTACTTAGCGAGAGGTTTGTACAATCGAGATGTTTCTCTTATTGAAATTGTTAAGCCAAATCACCTGTCTCCCTGTCTGTACCACTGTCTACATTCTAAGGAGGCCATGCTACATTGCATAGGCCTAGGAGCTGTTACGAGGATAATTATTACATATTTTTCCAGATTTCTTAACTCATAGGATAACTTTGTGGACTATTATGTTCAACATAGGCCTATAACTTACTGCTGACATTTGAATAACCAAACACGCCACTCCGTCATGTCAGCAGAAATAGACAATTACTTATTTTAAAGTAATGGTAATAATAATGTTAACATAACATTTACTAGAACCTTCAGTCTCGTTATAAACATTTGGATTTTTAAATACAAACATTTTGTTTGTAAAATATATCGCTGGTAATAGTTTTTATTGAGTCGTATTAGGTCACTATTCCGTTGATAAAGCAAGTAATACATCCATAAACCTTCCTCGGTTTTGAAGTAAGAAAGACCTCTCATTGGGGGTCACCCCCGCCAGATACCATAGAAATTGGATCCTAATAACTGCCAATGCCGTACTTAACAAAATAATTGCCATGAACATCTCGTTAAAACTTTCGGTAAGGACTTCTCGGTTCTCTTTTAGATGAACATACAAGAGCGGTATTTATTCCGTATAAGTGCCTCTAAACGAATTTTTTATTTTGATATCTTACTTTATAGTTTTTTACCTCCTGAATCAAAATATACCATTATTTTCACCGCTGATGAATATTTATCAAGATATCGCCGTAAAAACATAGGGCCTACAACATTACAATAAACAAGGTATGATGGATAGGCCTAACCATAACATTTACAAGTGGAATGAACTGTGGGTAACTAAGCCTACAGCTGACTGTTTCCAACCACACAAAAAGCAACTGGAAGTTTTGAACTTTAATCATGTAGTTCTTATTTAGGCATGTCAGGGTGGTAGGTCGTGCTGTAGTTTGTTTGTTAATTTTGTTCAATGTTTTTGTGTTAGTATTTTGTGTGTTTAACAACTCTTGCCAGTTATGAAGAGGATTTGTTTGGAATGTGTTGTTAGAACTGATGGTAAAAGCTTGAAAATGAACTTTTAGGTTCGAAACCTGGGTCGATGACTTAAATCCAGGATCACTGACAGTAACTACAGGTATTTAACCTTTTTATGAGTAATTTTTATCACAATTTATTAACGTAATGGTTTTTCAGGTTGCTCAACTGAGTCAATAAATGAGTTTTCGAGGAAGAGGAGGTAGAGGTAAGCCCCGTTGTTCTTATCTTCTTGAAATCATATTATACTTCTTTAAGTTATTGCTGTTTACAAATTTAACCTCCTACTTAGCTGGAATAGGCATACGGGAGGGACGACGGCTAAAGGTGTGGTGACGTCATATCTATAGTGGCCAATGTCTTCTCTTGAGGCAACACGATTACTGTAACGAGACGATGTGATTCCAGCAGCGGTCGTGGCATAGTTGATTGCGCATCAGACTAGTGTTCAGGAGGTCTCGAGGTCGAAACCCGTCGGGGACACTTACTTTTTGTCAAAGATTTTGCTTTATTTGATTTTTATCTTATATCTTTTTTATATTATCAGCAAGTTTGGTTGGTTAGGTTAGGTTATGACAGTTTAATTTTACAATACTAAATTTTAAAATTGATTTTATAATTTTTAGCCATCGTCCCTCCCGTGTGCCCCACCGCTACTTAGCTATGTAGACTACAAAATGTCAAACAGATTGTCTGGTATTGTATTTTCTGCACTAAACTTTTATTTACAATTCGTTAAAACCGTCAACATCAACATCTAAGTTTTTGCGATCAATATTTATTTTGCACTTATTATTTTGGGTAGGCTACTTTGGTATTATACAGAGGCCACTTATTTTACAATGCACTGCGGCGGTTATGTTAGGTTGGGTTATCATAAATATGTTTGTAGGACTTTCCTAGTTTCGTTATGAATCAAACGATACCAGATGAGTCATACTTTCTATTTATTATTTAACCCAACCTAATACAACCGCTGCAGCGCTGTATAAGGGTGTCCTCAGTATAATACCAAAGTAGGCCTACCTTATTTTGGATCACTATATGTAGGGCCTAAAATAAATGCATTACAGGTGGCGGAGGGTTCCGTGGAGGTGGTGGATTCAGAGGAGGAAGAGGGGGAAGAGGTGGTGGAGGAGGAGGTGGTTTCGACCAGGGTCCACCTGAAACGGTATGTTTCAAATATCATCTTGTTTAGGACTACTTTTATTTCACTTGGATCTGTACGTTTTATGTACCGTACCTATGCTATAACTAGTTAATAATGGTAATCACGCTTTTCTATGGCATTTAAAAGTTTATGGTCCAAAACGTGCCCAAATTGATCAAAATAAAGTTTGTATCCAAAGAAAAAATAGATTCAATAAAGTATGCTTTTTGGTACGGTATTGATCTGGCATTTGTTTTTTACAACATTCATAACAAAACAGGAAGTTACATTTGAATTTCAAATAAAATCAGTTGGCATCGTGTCGGCCAACAAAATAAAAAAAGCTCAATTTTAAATGTAGGCTACTCAAAAATATTTGTCTAAAGACTGAAGAAAAGTAATTTATATGCCTACTTTTTAGCAATAGGTAACTCATATTAGAATTAAAATTGTTGGCATAGCTTCTGCTAATTCATGGCTGCACCCAACAATATGACACCCCAATTGACAGCTTATTCAAAACAGTCACTCCACAACCACAAATAAACATAATCCGTCACTCGCTCTGTTCCAAATGCTACGCTCTCTAATGTGGACTACAAACTCTTCAAAAATTTAAGGTCTACACAATGAGCCTCATTTTATGCCTAAGTACAAAAATATTTGTTTTGAATAGGTATGGGTGTTTTATTGTACTGAGCAGTTGCTGTTAAAAATGTTTTTCAATCGTCAAAATTGGAGAAATAGGTACCTACACCGTTTGTTACAATGGAACAGAGATGAAAACTTTTTTGTTTAAGATAAGGGTGAATCTGTTAAAATAATTTTAGAAGTTTAATAATTTTATAATATGTATTGATAATGTCCATCTCCATATTCTAGGTAATACCGCTAGGTTTTTACGACTACCCTTGCCAAGATGATCTGGTTTGCAAAGTAGAAATGGAGGATGTTCCTTACTTCAACGCTCCTATATATCTGGAGAACAAAGAGTGTATCGGCAAAATTGATGAGATTTTCGGAAACGTGAGGGACTACTCCGTTACAGTTAAACTTAATGACAATATGAATGCTTCATCCTTCAAGAAAAACACAAAGGTAAATGTTAGATTTTATCTTTATTTTAGTCAACTACTATACAATATGACAGTTTATATATATTAAAAAAAAAAAACAGTATCAGCAAACTGACATATCCTCTTTCCAATTAGATTGACATAAAAATTGAACATAAAATACTACTACTATGAGCAAAAAGTATAAAACAACTAGGCAGTATACTGGGTAAGCAGATAATTATAGGGAAAAATCACAAAAACTGCAATAACTCTTGAACCTTTGAAATTACAGTGCTTGGAGTTATGTAATTTTGTTCAGGATGAATAGTACTATAAGATAAAATAAATGTAGCCGTTTTTGTAAAAATCATATTTTTCTGTGTTTTACAGTAACATCCACATTAAAATATATATATATTAATACTGAAGTGCCTGGAGATACCACTATCTAAATTTTATCAAAAGCAGATCACAGTTGTAGTCTGTAGCTCTGAACACATCCCCACACAACAGACATCACCACTTTTTTATCAAAGGGATATAAACCCACCCAACAATTTCCACCCATAACTTAAAATCGGAAATGTTGACAAAAACAATACTTTCCCTCCATATGCTATTGTGTAGAGAGTAAAGTAAAAATTTAATATTTAAATATGGAGAAGTCAAATTGGAATCTGTTTCAACAAAATAAAATTTGAGTGCTCAACTATTTAAGTTTTTGATTGCAATAAAACCACAGTTGACAGAAACCAGCATTTTTAATTACTACAAATATGATCTTTTAGGTGCTGCTACTTTGAGCCATTCTAGAAATTTTTATAAATAAATAAATAAATGTGTTTCCACATGGCTTCCATTGGTTTCTTGTGTGGAACATAGCTGATAAATTGATAGAGCCAACAAAAACCTTTTTGCAGCTAGTGTTTACATATATTTCTCATAAACACAACCAGAAGCTTATGTTTTCATCCTCGATTCACCAATAGCTCATTTACGTATTTGTATTTCAGTTGTATATCAATCCAGAAAAGATCTTACCCTTGAAGAGGTTTCTACCCCAGCCTCCCGGAGTGAAGAGTTCAAGAGGAGGTGGGGGAAGAGGTCGTGGCAGAGGAGGCGGAGGAGACAGAGGAAGAGGTGGTTTTAGAGGAGGCAGAGGCTTTGGAGGAGGGGGAAGAGGTGGTGGAAGAGGAGGCGGTTTCGGTGGGGGAAGAGGCGGAGGTGGTTTTGGCGGAGGAAGAGGCGGAGGCGGTTTTGGAGGAAGAGGAGGAGGAGGTTTTAGAGGCGGACGAGATAGTGGAGGATTTAGGAAGAGTTTTGGAGGTGGTTTCAAGAACTAACTATCAACCAAGACTTTTTAGACCTATTTCTTCTGTTAACTGTACAAATAAATCTTTTTTTTTAATTTATGATTTTATTCCCAGAGAGACTAGACTAATGACTAAGATAGAGATGAATAGACTAAGTTACTGCAAATTTTTACAGTTTCCTCATAGTAAAAATTATCGTGTTAAGAAATGCTAAAAGAGTTTAGGTCACAGAAGCGAGTTTTGTTTAAAAATCTGACATAGGTGATGGATTAGGATACAATATTTCTTGTTTATATATTAAAGGTCGAACTTTCTTGGACCACAGAATGAAAGACCTAACCCAAAAAAACTTTGCCAGACATAGGGGTGGCAAAATAGAGAACTTATGTTTCTCACTACACCGTAGCTATCAGTTTATCATGTACAAGTAAAATTTATACTTGTAATACACAAAAATTTTGGTTGTATTAATTTTTTGTCCAGTTTCCATGTACATCACCCCTTCTATATAATGGTACAATATTGATTATCAATAGAGGGCATTGGCTAAAAAACATCACCTGATGCCCTCTCCATCTACATCATAACACCGTCTCTTTCAGTGGTGTAGTGGAGCAAGAAAGAGTGGGAACAGCAATCCACTCTGCCTTTTTCAAAGAACCTATACACTGATAGGTGACCTGTATTTTTTATACGACATTGACAATGGTGAGCTGGAAAATTACGACTACAGTACTGGTCTCTTTGTCACAGTCAACCTCCAGTAGCCCAAACCAAACACCTGTTTGTGGCCGTGTCATAGAAATATAAACTTTTGTAATTATTATGTCCACCGGAGTCTGATAAAGTTTTAAGTGAAAACCAGGAACACAACAATACTATTAAAAACTCACAACATCATAATGGCTCCTAGATTCTGGTGTAGGTAGACACTGGCATTTTCAAATGCTATGCTTTTTATTGGCTCAGTGAGAGTTTTGGGTTAGATTGTTATTTCGTGATAATATACACAAAATTAATCAAACTGTATTATGTTAAAATGTAGGTAACTAAGATTTTACATGACATTATGTTGGGCCACAGGTTAGAGAAATAACCATTAACATGACAACAAACTTATATATTTAGATAAAGTCTTTCAATGTACAATTTAGAAATAAAGAAAATTTCTGCAAAATAATATACAAACACAATAAACTGTACAAGCATAAAACATAGAACTATTTAAACAGAATATTCACAAAATCTTTTACACCACGCAGAGTCGCAGAAAGTACATCATAATGTCCGTCTGTTATACTATTCTGGCTTTGACCTGAAAAATAAACAGTGTGAATTTGCCATCACTTCAAAATACTGTTCTAAATTCAATATTCATGAGAAAAACACAACAAAATAATTATATGATAGTGGTGGGCATTCTAATTCAGACTGATAGTTGAACCAGGATAAATCTCTCTTCTGTTGTGTTCATTCCTCTAATTTGATTCAGGTAACTTTCTCAATCCAAACAAATTTAAGTATAGACCATCAATCTCTACACTGCAATTGGATCGCACGCTGTAATGCTCAACTAGGTTCGTATTGGTCTGACCAGTCAACCACCAGCCATACACTTAATACAGGACTGCTGTTTTTTCATTGATAAAAAAATGATATACCTTTATTGACTTAATAGATTCAAATGTGGGGTCCACCCTTGTACTTGTCATGAAAGTACAGTGGAACCAATCCCCTAGGCCAACTGTTGGCCGAGACCCAACCCAAAAATATCAGGAACCTCTAATAAAAACATCTTCCATAAAAGGACAAGTTAAAATTAGCTTCATTGTGGATGCATTGTGGATTGCCAAATAATATTAAAAAGGTTTAAATACCTGCTATCAAGCAATCCATTTAATTGCAGTTGCAATTAAATGGACTGCTTGATAGCAGGTATTTAAACCTGTTTAGTAAAATTAGTTTCTTACTTGTCATATAACATACTTTTCTTTACTTACCGGCAAAAGGTGACTCTGGCACGATGAGTTGTTTGGAGGTTCCGTCAGGCCAAGTTTGTGTGATTGTACGCTGTTCAGTACCATCAGCATTACGCACCACCTCTTCCCTTTCCACAACCTTGGCACAAGAAAAATGTTCAAATTTGAAATTTTACTCTACCAAACATAAGAAGATATAATATAATATAAGAACAAATTGTACAAAAAAATTTTGTCGGTTTCAAAATCATATCTCTGTTTTACCTATGCTTTTATCAGAAAAACGTTACTATCCATGGAGTTTTCTGTTGTTTTGTTACTTGATTGTAAGATACAATATTCTGACAAGAATACTTTCTCTACCCTCTACCCAATCAAAAATGTAATTCACACTATTCTACAAGGCCCCAAAGGCAGTGTTGTTACTGACAGCCTGGACTAACCGTGAAATTTATGGCCGAACCTTATAACTTAAATATGAATTGGCTGATTCTAATCCTCAATTTTCCCAAACTTTGGTGGCAGAGTCGTAGATCATAGAATCTTGTTACTTTGGATTGAATGTAGTAGGATCTTCCATGATTTCGCCACAATCATGGAAGATTCTACAATTCCTATAACGTAAATAGTTTGTTCGTATTTACAATGGGCATACTCTGGTTGATCAGGGCTGGACCTAATGTCTGATATCAGGGGACACAGCTGGAGCTCGGTTTTATTTACAAGAGACACCTTTGTTTCCTGGGGATGAAAATATTCTTAAATATGCTGTTCTTATGCTGTTTACATATAATTTTTAGCTGAACTCGAAAGCATAGATTTAATAACGAAGGTATGATAACGATTATCGATTAATTCCTGTGAGCCAGCAATGACTCACACGGCAGGTCAATGGACTGTCCTAACCCCTTGCGTCTGTGTCTGTGAGGCCTGCGTGTGTGTGAGTAGGGCCGATGCCTCGGCCAGCCAAGCTGAGCAACCAGAGTATAAATATCATAGGTATTAAATAGCCTAAAATAGAGAAAGTAATAGTTAGCACGGCAATGTATAAACATAAAGTTTAAGTAATTGAGCCATTTTCTAAGATGAACAGCAGAGAACTAGTTTAAAAAATTAGAAAAAAAACTTGTGTTGTTTGAACAAAGAATCAGAATGAATCACTTACTCCATTTGGGAGGGTTACAATCCTTCTTTTGAAACTCTCAAAACCTGAGTTTATCTTTGGTTGAACAGGCCCTGGTTCTTTGGTGACAAGAGGCAAATTTTTTATGAAACTCTCAATCCCTTCTTTTTCAATGCTAAAAGAATAAACAAGGATTATTATACTAACTCACATAACGATTTTTTTTTAACATACTACCTCTATGGTTAATTTACTTAGTTTGCAATTAAACTACGTAGAAAATTTGTATTTGCTTAAGCCACTTTAAAAGACTTATTGTGTAGACTTATTAATCTATAAATACATGTTAATCTACAGTTACAGCAATTTATCATTGGAATTAAGGAGGGGGGGGGGGAAATCACTCAAAAGACATTGGGTTGGTATTATGAATAAACATTACATCAATATATTAATGTGGGGAATTAGTCACCCCCCCCCCCCCTATTGTTTGTCTTGCACTCTGATTATTGTTAATACTCTTTCCTCCAATCAAGAGTAATTATAACTTTATTTTCTTAAAAGCTCTGATGGATAAATAGATAGATAGATATGGATAGAATGGATTTTACAGAATTCACCAAACTTACATTTGATCAAGATCTGTGTCAATTTTTTTGCTATTAGGGTCCAAGTTTTCGTATCCAGGTTTGAGACATTGATATTTTGGATCTTCAAACTCCGGCGATTCTATCCTCTGGCTTTTTGATCCATAGTTAAAGATATCTGACCAGATTGTGCCTGCAAATTAATAGGACAAAATGAAAAATGTACAGTAGAACCTCTTTAATCCGAACTAATTGGGACGGAGGTAGTTCTGACTATTGAGAAGTTCAGATTACAGAACATATAGGTAGTTGTTTTTACATAACAATAGCTAAAACGTTGCTAAAATGGATCGTAATTGTTATGGTAAAAGTGAAAAATGCTTTATAAAGTAAAATTCAGTGTTTATTTAATACAGTAGTAGTGAATAAACAGTACTTGACACTACAGTAGAAACAATTACAGTGTGTATATCAATAAACAAACACAGTATACAATCAAGAACTACTATACTGTGTATAGAGTACAACAATGAGGCGTTCGGATTAGTGGGGCGTTCAGATTACGGGTGTTCGGATTTAATAGGTTCTACTGTATATAAAACTGAGGACAGTGCTAGGTTGCAAGAAAAGCTAAACATACAACTGATGAACTGACAACTGAACTAGTAGTAAAATAATTATACTAAACTTATGAAATCCAAAAACTTAATCTTTGATTTTTTCAATCATCTGTGATTGTAGATATAGTAGACCCCTTCTTAACCGACGGTAAATGGACGGGACCTAGGTCGGATAGTTCAAAAGGTCGGTTAAAACGGGCAATCTCTAAACACATAACATAATGAAGTGCTGTTCATTTGGAATTGTATAATCAATATTTTGAAGTTGTACTTACATCATTTTTAAAATAACTTTTTAGTATTGATAGAAAAGTCACAAATAAACAAAAAATACGGTTAAATCAAATACTTTCAGTGGAATAAATTATAGTTGTAGGCAAGAGTCAATAAAAGATCTCATTTTAATAAATTTAGTAGGCCTACTGTAATATTAATTTATGCTTTCCAAATCTATCGTAATACTAGCTGAACCCGCGGGCTTTGCCCCGCTTAACTTCATAAGTATTCGCATGGCTCAATCACGTCCTAGTTGAAGTTCGTTCGCTACGCTCACTCACCTTCAGGTTGGAAATCGTTCGCTGCGCTCACTTGTTTTCAGGTTAGCTCGTTCGCTACGCTTACTCGCCTCCAGGTTGATGTTCGTTCGCTACGCTCACTCACCTTTTGGTTGCAAATTAGCTGTTGTCATAAATTTAAAAAAGTCATCCCTTTTATTGTTTATAATACAGTACTTAGATAAAGGTTTTTATGTTTTAATATTTAACATTGGAGAATATAAACGTTGTTAAGTGCACAGGTGTGCTGCGATTGGGGTTTAATACATTTGGACTTATTCAAAAGTAAAATAGTTTTCTGTGCTGCAATCTGTAGAAACACTGTGGCACTATTTCAAATCATGAATAATGCTAATACAGAATGTTGTGATTATTCAAACCTACAAAACAGTTGGTGAAAGTAAACATCTGCTTTTAAATTATATTTATTTGTAAACATAGTAGATCAAAAAGTCTGACATTGGCCCACTTAAAACCCTCTGGGGCAGAGCCCTTTTGACGGATCTGCACCAAACTTTACTCGAACCATCCTTGAAAGATGCTTAATAATGCCTGAAAGTTTCATTACAATCTGTCGAGCGGTTTCGGAGTCCATAACATATATACATACACACACACATACACAGTTCCTCTTTTATAGATATAGATAGTACAGAACATTTGGTCAAAATTAAAGATACACAAGCAAGAAGCAACCATTTTATTACGAGACAGGATGCTTATTTATAGCCTATCACTGGAGGCTTGAGTCACAAAAACTATCTTGACTTTGGAGTCGTTAAACTCCCCTCCTGCCATCCCTACAAGTTGCGTTGTTTGTTTACTCTAGCGATAAGATAATCAGTTATAAAAATTGCAACGCACTTTACAATTTTATAAATTTGGCGCACATATAACAAATCAGATATGCTAGATCTACGAACAATGATAACAGTTTGGCAATATAGAATATTTCTTTGGATGTATACAAAATAGCTTAATCTTAGTCGAACATCCTGTGGAGATAAGCGTATGGTTCCCATCGCCGAGCGTGGGAGCAGAAAGGCCGAGATTCATAGAAGGCGGCGGTTAAAACAAACTGCTTTCAAACATAGGTCGGTTAAAACAAACTGTAATATTTTACGATCAAGGGTGGATATTTTGATTATCGTTTAATGCGAGGTCGGTTAAGAGGGGTCTACAGTAATTGTAAACACTCAATAAAAAGAAATCTATAAAGTTACTGTGGGAACTATTCAATGAAATAATTTTCACACATAAACGTTCTAAGAAGCAGAGCCCTAACTGAGATCTGAATGTGAATAGGCCTAAGTAATTCTGGTGCGTTAAGCTATGGTTCATGTAAAAGACCATTCATACCTGGAACATTTGGTTCGACTAGAGCACTGAACTGCTGAACTGCTGGATTGCCACTTCCATCCACTTTGGAGTGAGATTCTATCCTCTCCTCCGAACCATCTGGGTTGCGAATTATTTCTTCCGTCTTCACAGTCTATGAAATAGAAAATCTTAGTTGCCATCTTATATAGCAACTATTTTATAATTGATTCAATAGTGCTTACCTTTTTTAATACTTATAGTGACCAAAGGTGTGGAATAGAAAAGTGTTAAACATCTTATTCACCAAAATTCAGAACTGAAAAAATCTGCTTCCAAAACAAGAGCAAACAGCCTGAGGGTAAACTCCTGTTCCTGCAACTTACCATTTAAGTGGCAAATTTTTAAAACATTTTTCTTCCTTTTTTACCCTCAAAACATTAAATTTTGCAATTTCATCCATATTTTTTAGCTTTTGAATTCTATGTCTAAAGGCTTGGTGTTTTGAAGCATTGTTGTATGCTTGATGGTTAAACATATGGAGACATTTCCAAAATACAGTAAATATAAAATCTCCATGTTATTCTCATGGAGGATAAATATACTGTTGCAGTTTGCTTGTTCATGGATATATTTTGATCAAATTTGAAAAATTAATTCATTAATACTGCTTCAGTTAGTAAATTTATATTAAGTCTATACCTCAAATATATAGCAGCAAAACTAATTAGTTGTTAAACTTAATGTTAGCCTATTTGAATGGGGAATAGATATGGCATGTTAAACAAAACCACTGAGTAAAAATTCACTTAGTCTGCAGGTTTGCTGCATAGGGAGTATTATTTAAAATTGTAAATGCCCGTAAAAGTTCCTGATCCAGATTTCTAATGATTATTATATCATTAAGAAGGTCAACATACTTACTCCATCAGGCAAAGTAACCGTCCGAGAAAACATTTGGAAGGAGGAAATAACCTGCGATTGATTAGTACCTCGGTCCTGATCAGGTTTTGGGGCAAACTTGTCAAGCCATGATGTGATGGGCCCAGATCTGAAACTAACAAGTGACATATCAACACTTATACTACATCCAATATGAAACAACATCGAGAATACAATATAACATACTGGATTTGATATATTCCAGGTGAAATTTATGCAACAAACTGAGTCCACCAACAATTGTACTGGACTATGGTAATTACAAAACATCAGATGTACAATATTTTTGATGACTCAGCTTGTTTAAAGCTTATGATGAAATTAATACTCATTTTCATAGCCCCAGGATTGTGTTTTATGACAAATAATGCAGACTGACGATGGCGGAGTTATATAAATAACCGCCGAAACATATGTAGCACGTTTTCATACTTCATGTCAAGGATTGTCTGTACTCTGATAAGGTACGTTTTGACATTATTATATCGTCTTATGATGAAAGCTATAAAGAGGATCTTAGGCCTACTTTTTTCACTCATCCTCCATTCATATTTGGATGATTATACCAGTTGCGTTGCCGTTTTGATTAGTAAAAATAATAATGGTTTCTTTATCGATCAAGTTTCTTGAAACAGGATTGCTATCTCCTTTTACAAATTAGGGAAGAATCAAGAATCAAGATCTTTATTGTCATTGACCTTTTACAAGGAATAGACATAGTCAACAATAGAAATAAAAACTAAAGCTATAAAATACAGTGGGTTCTAAATTAAAAATTAATATCAACATCAGAAACTAAGTACTCTGGTATACAGTAATATGGATTTTGGATGAGTCACTCAAACATTTTAGACTTAAACCTATTTAGAAGGAACCTGTTTTGCTCCCAGAATGAAGTATGAATGGAAACACAACTAACTTTCCTAGAAGAGAGATTCAGGTAGTTGAAAGTACAAAGAAAGTTAACAACACAATAAACTTGATATTTCCCCCTACAAGGGGCTTTGTCAGAAGAGAAGTAGAATGGTAGTACATTTCTATAGTACATTCTTCTCCTTTGTTCAGGCTACCATGATATGAACTTTCTTTGTGTTTTCAACCACCTGAAATTCTTTTCTTAGGTACCGGTAAGTTAATTGCAGGGATGTGTCAAATCCGAATCTCGAATCCACCGAATCCCAAGAAAAGATTTGGATTCCTGGTTCAATTAACAAGATTTGAAAATTTAAAAAACAATTTTTTTTTTAATAGAATTAGGCCTATAAGACATAGGCCTATATTTTGACATTACTTTTACAATACCGTACACTGTGACATTGACTTCAACCATAGAGGTTATTGTCGTTGTGGTGGTTATAAGTGTTAAATGGTTCCTATTCCATTCTTGATTTTCGAATCACCAAGCCCATTGGTAATTACTATTAGGACTCACGATTCAAAGATTCGAGATTCAATTTTTTTAGGATTTGGATTCGAGATTCGAAATACCTAGATTCGACCATTACTAAGGTAAACAGCCCAAACTCCGAACGGTTAGAGGAGGTTAGGTCATTCTATTGTATTTTTATCCTATTTGGTTATATCCAGGCTTGATTAATTGTTTTACAAGGATTTATTATGAACTAATATTAAATTTTATGTCACAAACAACAAGTATCTCCTTGCAAATATTGTAAAATAACGTAATACAAGTGCCGAACGTTTTAACCATGAATAGCCCAATACCGAACGGCGTACGTCCCAAATCCGAACGCTGGTTTCCCAAATCCGAACGAGTCTGGTCTCCACTCTAAACACTGGATTCTTTAAATTGAACCACTTTGAATTTAAGTTTTAAATGCCGTTGATATAAAAAGTAACATACCTGATGACGACATGAGCAGAAAGCGACGAAATAACTCGCAGTAGTATCAAACTACTAACTACTACGGCCACGGCACGGCCACCAAGATTATGTGTTTTTGCCCAGTCGATTTAACAAAATATACTATAACAACGCACAGTCCAAGGGAAAAAGCAAAGTATTAAGCTCATTTTAGTGGAATGCAAGTTACTGGTTTGCGTGACAGTTTTTATTGCAACATTAAATACAGCAAACTTGAATTTAAAAAAACACTTATTTACAAATTAAATTATACACAATGTGCAAAAATGTCTACTGACGAGAACGAAACATAAAAACATTAAACTTTTTCTTAGAATGCAAAGAAATCTCGTCCCTCCACAGCGGGTGAAATTTAAAATTATTTCCAAATTAAAATCAACAAACTTAAAATAAAAAATACACTTATATACAAACTATACACTATGTACAAAAATTACGGGAACGAAACTTTAAAGAACATTTAACTTTTCCTTTGAATTCAAAGAAATCACGACCCTCCACAGCGGGTGAAATTTAAAATTATTTCCAAATTAAAATCAACAAACTTAAAATAAAAATACACTTATATACAAATTATACACTATGTACAAAAATTACGGGAACGAAACTTTAAAGAACATTTAACTTTTCCTTTGAATTCAAAGAAATCACGACCCTCCACAGCAGGTGAAATTTAAAATTATTTCCAAATTAAAATCAACAAACTTAAAATAAAAATACACTTATATACAAATTATACACTATGTCTCAGTAGAAAAAGTTATGACATAAGTTTCGTTCCCGTCAGTACAATTTACAATTTACGTCAGTACGAGAACGAAACTTATGTCATAACTTTTTCTTTGAATGTAAAGAAACCACGTCTCTCCACAGTGGGTGCACTTAAAATTTGGACTATGTCTGTTAATGGCACGTCATTGTCGAAGTCTTCTTCTTCAGGCCATATAAATTTGTTTCCTCTTCTGCTAAGATATTTGATTCCGGCTTTGTCGTTTTTGATTGATTTTATTTGGCCAGGATAATATTCTTGTTTCCCTTCCACATCATAAGGGACGACGACCCAGCTGTTGACCATAAGATTTTCAAGGTCCTTGGGGGCTACAACAACGGGAATTTCTTCGTCCTGGGAGTCACTATCGCTGTCATCGGGTGCTGTTGTCGGCCGTTTATTGTTATTTCCTTCTTGTTTGATCGTTCTCTTTACTTCACGTATCATTCGCCGCCGTTCCTTTTCTTCTTCCTTTTCCCTCTTCTTGGCTTCTCTTGCCTCCATGTACTGTCGGTAGGTTTCTCCCGTAATCGCAGCTGGTGTTGGGTCTCTTTTCTCGACTTTTTTCTTGATGGATGTCGGGGAGGGATACTGCAGGCACCTTTTAAAAGGTGATGGCATACTATTGGATGTGCAGCATTTTGATGGAGTGGTGTAAGCTGGTAGGGGCATTCCTGAAATCAAAAAGAAAAAACATAACACTTCAAATAAGCATCTTAATGTAAAAAAAATACTATGAGTTGATAATAGAAAGATATGAATGTTTAACTTAATTACCTCGTTGCGTTGGTCTAAAGTATGTCTAATGAATAAATCCTCTAAGTTACCTGCAGAGCTCGTAGTTTCTGTTTGGCTGCATGATGGCTGGTTGATCTCAGATGGGAGATCACGTAGCCATTCAGGATCAGGCTGCTCAGGAACATTGTTTTCAGGCATGCTCTCCAATATATCCGTGACAGACACCTGCAACAATAGGCATGTTTAACCATAATAACTTGGATAATAAAAAATATTTCACTATAATGAACACAGGTGGTTGATATGAATTTCTAACAGTGGTATTTAAGGGTTGCTGTTAAGATGCAACCACCAACCATTGCCTTGCATGTTGGTGATGAAGTGCTGCCCCGACAACGTGCCACCACGACAACCCCCAAATCGGATAAATGTGTGGTGTCAGGCTGTCGTGATGGTACGTTGTTGGGGTGGTACCTTTATGTGCTCACCGTTTTCAACCGTGTAGGATATCTTAACTTTACTTAATTTGTTTTAAGTTGCAGCACAAATGTTAAAATGAGTCTTGCATTTTTTACTTATTTTTACTGTGTAATGTAACTTAATCAAACTATTAAACGGGACCTACCTCGATTGATATGCCTTGGTCTGCGTTGGTAAATCCTAGGCTGTCAATGATGTTCTGCAGACCCTGTTCGTCCACGGAAGAGTTGCCGTCTGCAATTATCCGGCCCTCGACGATTCCGGACTGGTCACTTCCGTCTTCATGAAGGTCGATTGGAAAGTCCAGCACGTCGTCCACAATTTCTTCTTCAGCAGGTGTTAGGGCTGGTGGCCGTTTAGGATCCGGAGTTGAAGTAGTCGAAGGGTCAAATGGAGGTTCGTTTTCCTTCTCCGACGCTGATATTTCACATTTTAGGGTGGCAAGCTCATTTTTGATGGAATTCCATACTTGGAATAGTGACTGGTCTTCTACTTCAATTTCTCCGCGGGCAAACTTCTGGACTTTCTCAAGTCCCATCTTAACCTCGAAATAGCTCAGATGAGCTCGGATTTCTTCGGCCTTTCTTTTAAGGTTATTTGTCTTAGCAGGTGTATTAGTTTTTTTGAGGATGAGGTTGTAGTGAACTTTTTCCGGGTCAAGGGTATCCAGACCAGTGGCCTTAAACCCATTCACTACAACCTTCGCATCCAAACTGTCCAAAACTGTTTTCAGAAGAGGTGAAAACTCTTCTCGCTTCATCCTCCTTCCATCATGTTTGAACCGCCAGTCATTAACACAGGTCTTCCACTGTGTTTTTAGTGGCCGAGACACGGCTACATCAAGGGGCTGTAGGAGATGCGTGGAATTTGGATAAAGGGCTATTACCTCTATGTCATTCTGCGAACAGTATGTTGAGAGATGGAAGCTCATGTGTGAGGTGTGCCCATCGATGAACAAAACAATTGGAAAATCTATGTTTTTCGATTGAAGCCAAGGATGGAAAATGTTCGCAATGTACTCGTAGAATGTTTCTCGAGTCATCCACCCATTTTCCGATTTGCCTAGTCCCCAATCGGCAGGGAAAGTTCTGACAATGGCAGGGGGCACTCTTTCGTATTTAAAAACTACCATTGGTGGGGCCATCTCTCCTGCGGCATTGGCATTTACCAGCACTGTCAAACACTCCTTTTCATCGTTGCCAGTTTGCTGGTAAACCGCCTTTTCACCTTTTCTGGCGAGGACTGTTTTTCCTTTAGGGCATAGAAAAAACGCCGTTTCGTCGGCGTTGAAAATTCGACGAGGATCAAGGAAGATGTTGATTAGTCCTTTAGACTCTAGGTAGCTTTTGACCTCGCCGAACCATGCCCGGATGTCTCCCTCTGTGACATTGGCACGAGATGATGTTAATGCCTGAGAGACTTTTTGCGATCTCGGGATGGCGGCCAAGGAATAAGTTGAACCACTTGTCACCAGGGACATTGTTTTTGAACGGCGTTGGTCTGTTCAGGTCTTTGATGAGCCGGGCAACACTTTCAACGAGCTGGTCTTTCGTGACTGGAAATCCAGCTTTGGCCACGTCCAATGCCCACTGTACAATGTGGCGTTCTTCTTCATCAGATAAAACAGCTGGACGGCCGATCGGGGCGTTCTCCTTGTATTTTCCTTTCAGCTTGTCATACAAAGTAGTCTTTGGGACTTCATACGCTCTCGCTGCCGCGGATATGGAGTACCCCTCATTCTTGACGGCATCCAAAGCCTTTTCAACGTCTTCTTGCGTGTATCTTTGTTTGGATATCAGTCGGCTTGGAGGAGGCATCTTCCTGCGAACCACAAAATTTGTATAGATACAAGTAGCCTACACATAAAAAAACATTAAATAATACTTTACTTTAAATAAATTGTTTAATGAGGTACTGCTACTGAGTATATTAATAAACAAAACCTAAAATAATGCACAAATAATGTTGTCTAACTTAACTGGAACTTAGGCGATGTCAAAATTGTTATATTGGAATTCATTCTTTAAAAACGGTCAATTGTAAGCAAATGTTGGACAATTACAAAGTTTTTTTCTATCCTTGAAATATGTTGCAAGCTTTAGAATAAATTATTTTCACTAAAATACAATATTTGGTTAAAATTACAACTTATTTCAATCATTAAGTGAGCCGTTCGGAATTGGGAATTACCAGACACCTAAGTCCCGAACGATCGTTCGGATTTGGGCAAACCAAGCTTTTGGCTTGCCTAATTCCAAACGGCTTATAATTAATAATTAAATCAATACTTCTATAATGTATTGGCACTTAAAAATAGTTTTAATGCATCCTGAATAGTTTAAAACAAAGAAATATGTAAATGGTTTAGTTTAAGTAATGAAAAAACCTTATCTCACTTACCTTACGTCTTAGACGAAATTGCAGCGTCACTCCCGCCAAACTTCGAAACTCGTAACGGTCAACTAATCCACAGCCTTCTGAATCTACGCTTCAAATGTTTCAAAACGGAGTGAAGTTGATTTTTATAGATCGAAAAACGCTGAATACGGTGGCAATCGTAGTTTAAACCGTAGTGGACTGAAATTCTTAATATTTCGTTTTGAATAAATTTCGTTCGGATTTGGGCAGTCGTTCGGCGTTTGGGCAGTTTACCTTAGTTAGTGTGTATCGTTTCCTTCTTCCTTGATGTATTCCCAAGCCAAGTTGTGCTTTTTCCTCCAAAAACCAAATTTCCACAAAGAGGATTTCGGAAGCTAAGTTAAGCTAAGTTAACAAAAAATTAAGTCCTTACTTGTTATTCTCCCCCACATCACTTTGGGGCATCCTTCTTACTCCTGGCTTGAGGTACTGATCTCTCGGGTCTTGTTTTTCAGTGATCGCAGGAACTTCAGGACCTTCAAACGTTCCTAAAACATTCATAGGGGTATTTATATTTTTATGGCAAAGTGCAAAATAATAAAAAAAACATTAGTTCATTAACATTCTTTAAATATGCATATAGAAATTGTGGAATGGATAGTAGACTATTGGCTATTGGTTGGCTTGACTTCTGCAGACCAAGTCTCACTCAATCTGGAAACAAGTGAAGGTAAGTTTTTTTGTCCTAGTACGCTAGGCACGCGCCCGGACTCGTTTTTCACATTACGTCAGGCTAAACCTAGGGGTTGCGGCAGTGAAAGATAGGCCTAAAATGAATGAAAAATTCAACATTGGCATCACTGCAGAATATCACTCAAAGTAGGAAAATCAAGGTTCGGACAATTTTCTTACAGACAACCTTGCTTTATATACAAAAGACTTGTTAAAAGCTAGCATAATAATGCAGACTTCTTCTCATTCTGATTTGTTTAGCAAAGTAGATAAGATAGAAGTGAACATACCAAATCCAGGTAACCCATTATGGGCCATGAAAGACTGCATCATTTCGTTAATTTGCTGTTGTAACTGGTGGTGCATTTCAAATGGATCCATCATAGGTTCAAATGTTGGGAAAAATTGCCTAAAACATTAAATGTTATTTCAATATGACATAGTTAAGCATTATTTTGTTAAGGTAAGAAAAACTAGCGTAAACAGCGTCATTAGGGCAAAGAATATGGTACGTTTACAATCATACTTAACCCTCGATGGGCACACTGATTTATAGAGGTAAAAATCACCACACACAGCACAGGTTACTTCCACGTTTGGTAGAGTTAAACAAAACTTAATTTAATGTTGGACCTTTTGATAATAATTCTATCTACCAAATAAAGAATTGAACTTAAGAGCTTTTTTAGAGATAGAAAACATCTGGATGTATAAAAATAATAATTCAAGAGCACTGCCTCTGCACACTTATAAAAATTGAAACCAAACTGCTAAAATAATCTAGGTTAATTATTGTTACCTATATACATACAGCTGTAACTGGATAGAATAAATAAATAGTATGAGGTCATACCTTAAAATATCATCATCTTCAGGCGCCATAGGTGGTGTTTTGGGATTATTCTGACCAAAGTTACCGGTACTGTTCTTTCCAACATCAGGTGGTCTGCAGAAATCAGCATGGAATGAGAACTTCATAATTATATTGTTTAGAAAGTGAAAAAGAATTAAAATAACTAAGCACCTGAAGTTGTATAAACTACCTACCAACAAAACATATTCATTTATATTTAAATTAAAGTAGGTGATTCAGATTATAAGGTAACTTAGGTAGTATTTCTAAAGTTCGGAATTTTTTTTTTAAGTTGGTAGAATGTAATTATGTCAACCTGAATGTTGTTAAAACTAGCAATGTTATGACAAATGTCATGAAAGCTTGCAATTTTGCCATGTATCTCGCCGAAGTTAAGTTAGTGATATCGTTGAAGAATCTAAAAATAGGCTTTACCTTCATCAATCCAGCTCAAATTCCAGCTGAAGATTCTTAACGATATTTTTGCGAACCTCAGCAAGGCTGGTTTATTATATTACTATCGATGTCGCTGTGACCGTTGGTTGTGTTAGGGATGTTGCAACAAATCGAAAAACAAAACACAAAGGTAAGGATAAGTTACCTCTGAAAACTATGGCAAATTCAGCTCTTACGAATGCCGACAAAATTTTCATGTTGTGTGAAGAATCTGGCAATTATACTTACCACTAACTTCGACGAAGTTAAACTTAGTATATCCTAATAAGACCAGAGTATATCCTAATAAGACCAGAGTATATCCTAATAAGACCAGAGTATATCCTAATAAGACCAGGATTTGTTGGCAAAGTTTAATTAATACTTAGGCCTAATTCTCCGTGAACAAAAGATAAACTTTCAATTAAAATGTTGCAGCAACATTGCCATCATCAGATTGTAAACAAAAGACAAAAACCATTTATATAACTTAGTCTTACGATGGATTTTAAATATGCTAGGTAATTTTAATGATAATTGTCACTTGCTTAAGATATTTGGCTTCAATCGCTGTTATTTATGGTAGGCCTAGGCCTATTATAGCCAGATGTATAGTAAGTTAAGTTACATCAAGTAAGTTAGATAAGTTTAAGGTCTAAATTGTTCATCCATATACTTGTATGAATCTGCCACTATAACTTAACTCACCAATAAAGTGCATATAATAGCTTGTGTGGAGGTGTCATAACAAAAATGCACATTAGGTATAAAACTAATCGGTTCGTAGCTGTATCTGTATGACTCCTTGATCAGACACTGACAGTAGGCCTAGACCAAAGCCTTAAAATTAGGAGGATTGGGACTAAGCCTAGGCCTAATCAGGCTACATGTTAAGACCTTTAATTTATTAACATACCTTCCATATCCATCATGATGGTTCCCTAAAATACTATGAATCCAATCAGAAAGAGGCATATTTACAAAAAATTACTAGACAATTCAAACCTTCTTGGCAGATTACGATTGATCACACAAAAATTACAAATAATTGCATCATCTGTGGTGACTGGTGATGTGATAGTGATACTGATGTGATGGTTTGGTTTTGCAATTGCAATTTGCAAAGCAGACAACAAAACAGAACAACTAGAACAACAAAGTCCACAAAGCAAAGACAACAAACAAACGCACGAAAAAAATGAATACTAGCAGTAAGCATACTAGCACGAATACTAGAACAGAAACGGATGGATCTTAAACATAAACAAATGACGTCACTGGCTGGCCTGAAAGTAAACATGATTGTATCATAGATAAAACCATAAAACCATAGACTAACCAACTATGTTTTATCTATGATAAAACATACTCCCTTATCCATGAATCCCAAAGTACCCATGCACTTTTGAGAAAACTACAAGTCACACCCCCATATACTTCGAATGTGCGTCATAACGAGAAGCCTTGCGCAAAACCATCCATAATTTCACAAATTGCCCTTTAAGGTCGTAATTCCTTTCTAAAGGGAACTTTCCATATACCTAATGTTAAAAATACCGCAGCTTTTCCATCCTTATGGAACAGCTGAAGTAAATTGTATTGTTGGTTCTGTCCGGTTTTCTGTAGATGTCGTGTTTTGTTTACAATTTGTTTCTTGTCATTTCAGTGATTTAAAACCTCGTTTAGCCAAATAAAACTATCTAATAATAAACAATAATAACTCGTCCACTAGCTATATAACCAACAGTGAGACACAAATAATGAGAAACTAACCCTAAAATAATAGAAACAAATTGCAAACAAAACACGACATCTACAGAAAACCAGACAGAACTAACAATAAAATTGGCTTCATCTGTTCCATAAGGATGGGAAATCTACTAAGGGACTATTCCATAACCTACTACCATAAAACATACTCTACCATCTACTACTGTAGAATTGACAGGTGTATAGGTAGTCAATACATGCATACATCCTCCTCTTCTCCGTACCGGTACCGGTAGTCTTGAAGACCAGGGAATTGTCAATTCTTGAGGTTGGGTGTGCTACTAGTCCCTGCTCAGGCTTCCACAGTAACTGCGGCGGGCTCCCTTTCGCAGGTTATTCTTAATGCATTTGAAGACAAACAAAATGTGTCAACCTCTTTTGATTGTGTGCCACATGATACTTGTCAAAATGCTTTCAATGTATGGGGTTGGAGCCTGTGTGCTCAAAATGTTTGAGTCCTACCATTGTCTATTGGCCTGGTCGATCGGATAAGCATGGAGTCCCCCGGGGCTCAGTCGCTTTTGGGCCTTTCTTATTCATTGTTGATTGTTGCCATGAATGACTTGTGGATGGCGTCTCAAATGATATATTCATGTACGCGGATGATACTACTATTTTTGCTAGACGTATTGATCATATGACAAAAAATTCTGTTAGCACATTGTTAAATGAAACGTCTCAATGGTTTGATAGAAATAAATTGACTTTGAATGTAGCCAAAACTCAAGAAATAATTTTTATTCATAATAAAATTTTTTTCCAGTGACTATAGTCTGTAAGATTGTTAGGTTTCACCATGTTTCACCCTGGATTCGGAGCTTGTGTGGGATGACCACATAGATGCACTTATTTGTGTAAAAAGAGTAAATCATCAATCACTATAGTTCAGAGGTAAGGTATGAGGCTCATAAGGCGAAGCGAAGGTACCGGGTTCGAGACTCATCTGGGCCAATAAAAGAATGTTCTCGTTTTTTTTCAAAATTAGTTTTTGTGAACTATTCAGTTTACTCAACTGATAACATTATAAGACTTTTGAGGAAGTTGACCTATGAACTAGGTACGTTTTAACTTTCTGAGACTTGCTTTCTTTTCTTTTTTTTCCAGGCCCATATTGTATATGGCACACTCCTGTGGGGTCACTCGCCGCATTCTCAGAAAGTAAACTGTTCTATAAAATAGGCTATCTGGGTAATATGTCAGGTTCACTATCTATGGAGCATTATAGGCATTTGTTCACTGAACTTTGCATTATGACTGTTGTGAATATTTATCAATCGTTGTTAGCTATTAAGGACATGGAAGAGGATCTTGTTTGTAATAAGGATGTCCACTCATATTTAACTAGAAATAGAAGCAATGTACATTTTAGTAGCAATAGATTGAGTAAAAAACTAATAACTGTTTTCCTGTTACTGGTATAAAGTTTTACAATGCTCTCCTGGGAAAGTGTTTGGTTGTTGTGGAAGTCCAAATGTATCAAAATATTGTAATTTTTTTTCTATTTGTTCATTATGTATCTACCACAATTTTCTTTTTTTTTCTTTTTGCCACAACTGCACTGCATGGTTTGCCCGTTTGCCACTTTATTTGCTGTATGAGATTAACCAATTTCAGCATGGTTTGCAATGGTTAACATTTTATTTAGCCTATTTATATAATATTTTTTGTTTGATTTATTTTTAGCATAGTTTCGACCACCTATTTGTATTTTATTACTTTGAATGGTATTATATAAATCTATTGAATCTCTCTCTCTCCCTCTCTCCCCCCCTCTCTCTCTCTCTTAAATCTCTTGAATTTGTTTATGTTTATGATCCATTCTGTTTTTGTTCTGTTCGTGAAAAACTACAAACGAACCATTAATACAGAAAGCTGTTAGTGAATTTAAGTAGCTATTACCGTAGGTGGCACGGTAAGACCTAGGCCCAGGACCAATTTACTTTTTCATTTATGATGTCCCCAGAGGCCAAAAACACTTCTCTGTACATTCAATTGTTATGTGTATGTGTGTGTGTCCATGAATGCAATAAACTTGAGTGTAATTTTTGTCCGATTTTGATGAAATTTGGCTTGAGGGTGTGGGGCAGGATAGACTTAAATGAGCCTGCGAACCAGCATGATCGGATCATGGGAACGGGGTTTTATGGGGTGAAAATTGGTTTTACATATTTTTTATCCTTAAAATTAAAAAATTTTGCAATTTCTTTCCAAACCATTTTGTAGAAGTTAAAAAACAAATAGGCCCACGCGCCCAATGATTACATAAAGACATTTCAAAAAACTTTAATTTTTAAATTTCCATGCTATTTTTATGGAGAGTAAGTAATTTGTTTTACTTTGCTTACTTATGGATATATTTTGATCAGACTTGGAAAATGTATTTATTTGATACTAAGCTCTATTTATATTTTACAAAAACCACCCTTTTTACCCCTTCTAGCAGTAAACCTAGGTACTCATTTACTCATTAAACTAATGTGTTACTAAAATAAATTTAAGTGAAAACAAAACCAGGCAAACAGAAATTCGCTTAGTCAGCAGGTATGCTGCAGCGGCAGTATATTTAATTTTGCGTCCTTCAAGTTTTATTTAAAACTAGCTGGCCCGATGACTGACGTTCTGTCCTAATGTGGTTGTAATTTTATGTCAAATGCTCGTTCAATCTCAAGATGAGCTCGTTTGCATTGCTCAATCTGTTCAATTGTTCAATTGTTTCTGTTTGTTTGAATTATTTCAGTGTGGTTAGCCCCCACATAATTTCCTTCTGATAGCCAAAAATAGATGTGACCACCTCAGAAATACTTAAACATTGGTTTAATTAAACTGAGCCTTTTATTCAACATTTCTGGGAAGGTAAACTAAAAAAAATCTCCATGTATTCTGAGTATTTAAATCTAGTTCCGGATCTAAATTGATTACCCCTTTCCACCCCCTTGTTTTTATAGATAAACTGTAAACTGAACAACAAGCAATGTGAGAAAACACCAATTAAAAAAAATGTTACTAACACTTTTAGCATGACCAGCAAATAAAAAAAAGTGTAACAAAATGATCAATTTGTTTTAACTTTCACACCCTTTTACTGTCTAGTCTAATGGATGCCTGTCAAATAACAATCATTCTGTCAGTTCAGTAGGCACAATCAAAACCAAGCAATTTGTTTTGACAGTTTTATCTGTGATCTTCGAGCTACATTTTTAGCACTCTAGACTAAAGTGCAATGAAATAATACTTATAACAGGAGCTGCTTTATGTTTTGGAACCGTTGAGAGAGAAATCACGTTTTTTATTTGTCACACTTAGTAAACAGCAGTGATACGGTTCCAATTTTTAAAACAATAAAACGTGTAAGTTTACAAATATAACATGAGGAAACTCTGCAAGGAATTTTGTAAAAGCTCTTCAGTCCATGGTTTGGAATTGGTGGTGAGCGCTAAGAAGTCGACAAAAGAAAGGTGATTAATGTTTATATCAATTATCCTCATAAAGCTGGGAAAAGCTATTCAGAAATTTAAGGTAAATTACTCAGTAAGTAGATGATGCCCCTAAATATCTTAACTATCTATATTTATACACAAAACGGGTTTTCTCTGTAATATCTCTTTTACGTGTGTGTAAATAGCCAAAATTGTTATGATTGTGTCAATTTTGTAGCACACATTGCTTCACCCAAGGCAACAATACATAGTGGTAACCTTTGATTTGTTTTAAGAGGACACTTCCAAAGGTCCAGCTGAGCTGACTCACTTTTTAAACCGGTTTTAAGTGAATTGTAATTTAACAGCTGATTACTTGATTTTTTTACATGGTAAACAAAAAACAAAATAACAGTTTAAGAAAATTGATTTGAGAGGTTACTTTTTGACTGATTTAAAGGTTAAATAATTTTTAATTTGTTAAAATCAAATTTGTGAATCAAATTGGTAAATCGCTCTTCATTGCAGTGATTTGAAATTTACATGTTTTAAATAGGCTACTGTAAATTAGTAGGTCTAGATGTATTCTTACTGTCATAAAAAACACGATTTCCATAATATCACTTCTTTGAATGTTAAATCTCTTTGGTACAGTGGTGGATCTAGAACAGTCATAAGGGGGGGGGGGCGAACCTGGGGGTCTGGGTGGTCGGGGGTACCCCCCTGAAAAATTGGTGCAAACTAAGTCTCCAGGATGGCAATTTTATACCATTTCTTTGTCCAAAGTTAGTGTGACAAATTAGTTTACACAATGTAACATGCAGTAAAAAATATATATATATGTATGCTCAAGGGGGCGGGGGGCGGTCGCCGTCTTCACCCCCCCTCTGGATCCGCCTCTGAACAAAGTAATACTTGAAAGGTAAAGGGTTGCATTATATTTCTTTCGCCTCAGAAACAAGTTTTGGGCCCTATTAAAATGTGCAAATATGTGCACAGGCCCCTGCTTTGTTATAAATAATTGTTTTAACATTATATAATTCTAAACAGTGTAGTTAAATTACTATCTGCATCTGATCACTGGGCGTTGGTCTACTTGTGCCTGCACGGGGCGAGCAATATGGACCCCTTTGGGAAAACTAAATTTTTAATTTACTATATGCTCTGAATGGTTTTAAACAATTTTAGCGATGAATAAGTATGTTTTAAATGCTGGTTTAATGTTATAATTTTGGTTTTTAGACTGAAATGTACCTACTTAATTATGTTTTAAACAGTTTTGTATCAACTTTCTGGGGGAGGGCCTCTTGATCCGGCCCTTGGAACAATATTATATTGGTAGCACTTCCTGAAGGAAATGTTTGCAGGTGCCCGTGCTCATAGGTCTACTCCACTTAAATTATCTTGATGTAGTGATTACAAGTGGGAAAATGAATTATATTCTTTTCCTGGCTGGAATATTGGTTTATGTTTGCGTACTACTGAGTTGTGTCTCTAATTTCTCAATATCTGAGAAATACCCATCAATGCCTTTAAATTTAAAAGAAGGGCTACAGTTGAGTGACAGGTTAAAAGGCCAGTTCGTGCATTTTCGGAAGAAATATTGTTTTCTACTTTACAAAGCATTATTTTTAAGACAATGTGTACTTTCTAACAATCCTCACCACCCCACACACCTTTGGTATCGAAGAAGACAAACTTGAAAGACTGTTTTTAACGAGTCTGCAATGCCAGACTCACATTAAGAATATAACATTATATAATTCTAATCTGGTATCTTTAATTTGACTACAGAGTTTTCTGGGGATGTTTGATTGTGGTTGCTACCGTACTTCTGACCCGGCATGTTTACGTGCTCGGAACTAATGTCACCCACAGTAATGTGGAGCTGATTGTAGATAACCCCAACTACAGCCTAGAGAATGCAGACTTCCCAGCTGTCACAATCTGTTCCAACAGCAAGGTGATGCGGTCAAAACTGTTCCAGTATTTGAAGGGCATAAGGTGAGTTGATAATTTGTCAGCGTTATGGTTGTTTTTGGTTTTTTTTTTTTTTTTGTTAGGGAATGACCCAAACACGGGCTAACACCTCTTTTTCCTTAAATGTCAACCGCTTGCTAGAAAACACCATAATGAATTGAATATCTCTGCCAAACAACGTTGCAAAACATACTTTGTGAAATTATTGAGATTATTTAAGATCAACAATGCAAATTACATTCTCTGCCGCGTGGGATATTTCGCTCTTAAAAATACAAAGTCTGGCAGCGCTCACGAGATTGAAAACTGTGCGGGAATTCGCTCATACAAGCGGGACACTGGCTGTGTTGACATTGGCTTGGACGTTTTAAGTTTTCCGAAATCTGAAAATATTTACTTTTGTCACTTGCAACTTTGTTCAGCAGAGTTATTGAATTTATAGTCCAACGACAAGGAGTGCCAAATGAGATGTAGGAACAGATTTTTCTTAGACCAAATCAAATTTGTGTGACCACTCTGTGTTCCTCACTGTTGTAAACACCGAAAGGAAAATTTGACCCTGGAAACTGGAAACAAAGAGAAATGCTTTGACTTTTTTAAGTTTTAAGGACTCAGTTGACTTAAACGACAAAATGATGTATGGCTTATAGTATGGATCGATAGCGGATATTGGATGTGAAATGTTAGAAAATACCTAGAACTTAGAACACTGTCAAAAAATGCCAAGTAAGATATTTACAATTGGATAATTTGATAATTTCTTAATAACAATTGGAAATCGAGAACCCCAACTAAAATCAAAGGAAGGAACATTCTTGAATGGAACTTTATTTTTTCTTTGACCACGTGTTGGAACGAAAGGAAGGTCTATCAACTGATGGTGTATGCAAGGGAGTGGTGGTGTGCAAGGGGGGTCTATGGGAGGGAGGGGGGGGGGTTGGAAAAATAAAATCTCCATAAAGATAATCTCTTAAATGTTTAATTGATTATTAGGTTTCATTTCCTGCATTAAGACCCTTAAGGGAGATATAGCACTAAGGATATGCACAGTTCTAATTTTGTATAATAATTTAAGCGTTTTTACGTCTAGAATTGTTTACAGGAAGGATATGCCCTCAAATGAAAAAGAAAGGTTTATTCACTCAGTGTTAGCAATGGATCTGATGAAATACCCCTTTCTCCATCACCCAAATCTCTATATGGAGCGTTTCAACAACAATCTCCGCTATATTCCCAATGAAGAAATATTCGACTTGTTTTTGACAGTAAGTTCATCACAGATTTAATGTAGCGTAAAACTAATACAACTGTTAATTATTACCTATTTAGCCTAATGAATCTAGATCTACTAGATTCATTGGATTACTTACTTACTTACTCCTGTGGCCACACAAATCCCAAGTGATTTTTGGCCTCACCAACAATGCTCCTCCACTGCTGCCTGTCTTCTGCTGCCTCCAAATTTTTTTTTTAAAGAGGTTGGCGGCCTCTTCTAACCTTGCATTTGCCCGTCCACATAGACTACCTACAGATCTGTGCGTGGAACGTATCCAGCAAAGCAAGGGGTGAGCCGGTACAGTACAAAGGTGAACTGTACTGATAAAAGTTAGTGGCAGTGACCAGGATCCGAACCCACGACACTACTGCCTTGGGCCCGAAGTCCGCGACGCTACCGACTGAGCCACCGACTCACCACTTGCTCCTAACCTCCTGAGGTCCTGCCTCACTTGGTCATTCCATCTTAATCTGGGCCGTCCCAGCGGCCGTCGTCCTTCTATGGTTGCCCCATCGATCCATACATACCTTCTTAATCATACTGTTATCATCTTTTCTATATACATGTCCCAGCCATCGTAATCTTCTGCTCTTTACCATTGCTATAATATCTGGGTCATTATAAAGTTCTCTTATGTATACATTTAATGAAAGTCTAAATGGGTTCCTAGTTCCCATAACTCAAATGAGAATTTACCAGAAGAAGTTAAATTTGCTTGTATAGTTACAAAGGATCAAAAATAATTTAAAATTCACTGGGAGCCGAGAAAGAGAAGTAGGCAAACCACTACCACATACTTTACATATTCACATCCTGTTAAGCTGTACGTACATCATACTCTAGGACTAGTATGAACACGTTCAAACAGATGACTGTACAATATTTAGCTGCAGAGGATTTTAGAAGTTTTCATGATTATATTTCAGGTCCGGCCCAATATTAATGAAATGATCTCAAACTGCAAATGGAGAGGAAGAATGATCAAATGCCGGCAACTTTTCCGTAAGCAAATGACCGAGGAAGGATTTTGTTACTCTTTTAACAGCAGAACTGCTGACAGAAGCTCAGATGAGTAAGATACTGGTGTATTTTTGACTTAAGTTTTTCATATTGACTATATTAAATGTTTTTTTTTTATAAACATAAGAACCAGGTTATATTCAAAAATACTCTTAAGGCCTCGCACTATTGAATTTCAATATGGGTAATTTTTGCTGCACCTCATGACAACAAAATATGACAAAAATGTGTATAAAAGAAAAAGGAGAATACAAAATTGAGTATTACGTGTTTAAAATACATACATACGAGGTGCATAAATTATCTCATCCACCATATTTCTAGTTTTAACACCATAGGGGAGAAAATGTCGTTACTACTTTGCAAGCTTTCAATGTTTAGCTATTTTAAAATTTTCACATAACAAAGAGAACAAATAGTTTGACCATTGCCTGGATTTGACATTTTAAAGTTAGTAATAAACATAAACTTTGACCATTTTGTCTTTTTCTGTCAGTTTACCTAGGGTCCCTCCTGAGGAGAAATCTGATGGAACTTTAGAATGTCTTCGCAATAATGCTGCTGGAAGAGACAGTGGCCTCTCTTTTGCTCTGAAGTCACTTGACACTGAAATATTCAAAACGAATCTGCAAACCAGAGGATATTCAGTAAGTATTACATCTTCTGTGTACAAAATTGCTATTTATGTAGGCTGTTTGGAAAGCTATGATCATTACTGCATCAGTAGATTACAAATATTTCAAGAACTGTACTTTGGTAATAACCTCTTGCAGGCATGATTTTAGGCAATTACAGATACAAGCAGTCATTACATCAAATTTCCCAGACTTGGAAGTTTTTTTTTTCATTTTGCCTCTGAGGTATAAGACCCAAGGTAATCAAACACTATATGCTAGGATTTTATTTTGTATTCTATAGATACTGTATAGTAGGACCTAGATAAAAAAAATTCTGGAAACTAAAGGTGGAAAACCCTGTTGACAAAATTAAGGTGGTCATTGCAGAGGAGGAATTGAAAGCACAAATGGAAATTGTATACTACCGGTACCTACTCCTATATCAGGACATTTAACATCTATAATTTAATTAAAATAACCTTTTTCTATTTTTCAACATTTCAGATCATGGTCCACAACCCTAATTCTTATCCTGAAGTTTCTCACAAGTATTTAGTTTTCTGGAAAAACTTTACAGTTTCACGGATTAGTGTTCTGGTAAATATGGTCAGAACGGATGAAACGTTTGCGAGAATTGCAGAATCTGCTCGTGGATGTAATATGTCTATCACAGACCCCTATATATGTATGTTGAGATGTCGTCAAAGAGAAATCTATCGCCAATGTGGCTGTTTGCCATATTACATGTACCATTTCAACCGTAAGTAAACACAAGTTGGTTATACTACTTTTTTCCTTAGGAGGAAGTAGGGTAGCATTTTGAGAAAAGAGTTTTTACATGCATAGCAACATTTTCCTTCATTCTTATATACTTTTGTAATTTACGTTTGCTATACTGTAACGTAAAATTATTTCTTTAAGTTTTACTCTTTTAGTACCTGGGGCAGTACACCATAAAAGTAGCATAGACAGCGTATTACTTAGTTCAGATAAAGAGCTGTTTGTCTACTTTTTAACCCTCTAGATGTTCCGGCTGTAAAACCCTGTGGTTGATTTATTCTTATAAATAACTGTACAAAAAATGATAATACATAAAAAAATCCATAATGATTCCCCTCTTGACAGTTAATGAGAAGAGATCTAACTCTGTTTTAGAAGTAGAATGTAGGATACACTCCATGGCACACTTAACCCTTCCCGGACGGGCGAAATCGTGACATAGAACAAGAAAAAATTAAAGGAAAAAATAAAAAATTATTTTCTTTATTTGTGTTTTGTTATATAAGTATACATAAAATAAACACAATGGAACACTTCATAACTGTCAAAATAATTTTTGACTCGTTTTTAACTATGCAGATATATCCGCTACCCGTCCGCGCATGAGTAGAAAAGCAGCGGATATATCCGCCCCACATCTTTGAACAAATGACCATGAAAACGTTAGGCAATAAATAAGAACAATATGTAAACAATAAATAAAGACAACGTAGTGTTGAGCGCGAAACGTCGAGGGGGGAGCGTAGGAGAGGTGATGGGTGGTGCGCAGGAGAGGGGGAGGCGCGAGAGAGGGGAAGGAGCGGGAGAGAGGGGGGAGTGCAGGATAGAGCACAGCCATGGAGAGAGCAGGAAAGTGGCGCCTTGGTACTGTGAAACATTTGGTTATTGCTCAAGCACCTGCCAGTCTGTCTGAAGAGAAGGCGGATATATCTGCTTCCCGCCCGGAACATCAAAAACCATAAGCAGATATATCCGCCACCCGTCCTTTATCGCCAAGAAGACTTAGGCAGGTCCGGGAAGGGTTAAGAGGTGTCAAGGACACATTTCAACACCATGTGCGATAGGAATTTCCTCACAGTGCTAGGTGTTCGGGCTCTTCTCAGCTTGTCACTATTATATTTCCGGCACAACATACCAGAGCTGAAAAGGCTTGGTTGTCCCATAAGTGTGTTTTCTTTTCTTCTGTACATACCTTTTTTTATGTGGTTCTAGTGAAAACTTAATAAAATTATCTGTAACAAAAACAAATTTGACCAAAGGAACCAAAGTTTAACTTAAACGTCCTGAACTCTTTTTTACTAATCATGTAAAACATCCGCAATAATCATAAAGGTTTCTTAAAGCACTAAGGTTTTATTAATTTTAACAAACAGTACCATAACATTGAAATATATTCCACACTGTCTATTAATATTAATTCATTTTAATTTAAGGTTTTCGGATATCCATAATTAATTCTGTTTTGTTAACAGGATATGCTGAAACGTGCGGAATTCAGCATTTTAAATGCTTGGATATTAATAATAGTAAGTGTTGAATTCACTTTTAATACTTTATAAATTTACAGCTTGCATTCATTCATGTAATTAAATGCAAGTGAATTCGTTAGGTAACCTCCTATTTTGAACAATTTATTAAAGTGAAAATCACAAAAGATTCTAGTTCACCAAATGATTTTCTTTTACATTTTGTGGAACATTAACATCCGAATTTGGAGGCAACACATTTATTTATACAAAGTAGTTTTTCAAAGATAAACCTATTTTCATATGTTGCAGAACGCTTTAGGAATGCTCGAGTTGATGGTGAACATTTCAATATACCTGCCTGGACTGCACCCATGTTTATGAGCTGTAAGTGCGAGAGACCTTGCTCAGATACTACGTACACAACAGAATACTCCTTCATTCCAAGTGAAGAAGTCACTGGAGATATTACTCCAACGGGGTATGCTTTAACTTTGGAGATATTTATCATTCAAAGAAAAATAAATAGAAATGCATATATGCACCAGTAGGGTGAAAAAAAAAACTGGGGAGAGTGGAAGTAGTAAATTGGTCAGTAGCTCAGACCGTAAATAAAAAATTGAAACAATTGATATGCAATATTCTTGCTTCCAACATTGTTACTTATACTAAATTGCGTTTGTTTCCATCGTTTTGATTAACTACCGTTTAAAACCGGCACATATGTGAGCCGTCGGTCTATAGCAAAAATTTATAATGCAGTTTTACTGTGGATTGATTGTCCCACAGGGCCGTCCCTAGGGTTGGCGGCGCCCGGAGTAAAAGTGGGCGTGGCGCCCCCTCCCCCCCAGTAATAGTCGCATTCGCATATTTGTAATACTATGTTAATACAAATTGCCGCAACAAGGAGCCCCCTCAGCCGCGGCGCAGCCCTGTATGTCCCATTTTGCGCCGTAAACCCAATGCCGCAAAACCAACTAAAACACAACTGCAGAGAACAAACATACACACAGTATAACCTCAGCTTCACTGAGAAACACGCGGTTACCACCTGGATGTTACTGTAGCTGTAACTAGTATAAGCACGTTGAACAAATACAATAAAAACGAAAACAGGTGTACCAACTATATGGTGTTGTACTAAATACACCAATCGTCAAATCCAAAGACCAGGCGTTCCATATGTGTCATATATCCCCAAAGACCTATATAAAATATCAAGGTGTAAAAATGGACCAATACGATTGGAGACACATTTAAAACACGTTCAGTACGAGGGGCGGGAATTCTCGCCCCACAGTACCAGCGCCACTGGTGCGGGGCGGGAAATCACGTCCTTCACCAATGCCAACAACTTTGCTTCAATGTGAGCTCAGCCATTGCCCGGGAACATTGTAATTGTTGCCATCCTGTAGCGTAGAATGCGAGCTTTATTTTGGTGTAGGTTGGTACCGTACCAAACATTCCCGTAAAATCTCGTCTGGCAATTCTTTTGTCCCGTTTTCGAGGATTTTCTCTATTCGAGCCATATTACAAAGACTCTGGTTATTGATCCAGGCAGTGCTGCTACCTTTGGGTGTTTCAGTGAACTACGTCCACTTTCGGGGTAACGCAGAACAATCACCACTGGTCTTTTGTGATTTGTCTTATATTTCAATGCCAATAGCGATCGCCGATTCAGTTAGCGTGCCGGGGCTCCGCCCAGCCTCGCCTCAGTTTAGGAGCGCCTGTATAAAGGTTTTCAGCAGTGAACGTGTTAAATAAGCCGGGGACTCTATACGTATGGTGGTGTATTGGAATGGCCCGAGCGGTGCACGTTTGGGATGGAGGTCTATGGTAAAGTTGTTGTGGGGCATAGGTGGGACGGTCGAGTATATATTTATGTAATTTTTAACATGTAGGTAGCAAACATGTTAAGGAAAACTATCACAATTTTACAACAGTTTGGCTTATATTAAAATAAAGTCTTAGAATGGAACATTCCCGATGTTTTTTGAATTTTATGTGTTTTATTTGGTGGTACGTATTTCGGAAGTAATAGTATGAGCAATAACTCCTTTAATGTAATTAAGTGCTTACTGTTACTTTAAGCACTTAATTGTACATTTTTCATCCACTTTTACTAGTTTATGTATTTTTATTATCTACAAAATATAGGTGCTGCTTTTTAATGAAACAAAAAGTTTGTTTGCTAATCTTGGTTTAATGGGAACTGCCTTTTTTTGGTGATGGAAAAGAACTATAAATACAAAAACTGCAGTTGATTCCGCACTAGCTATATATCCCATCAAATTTAAGATACATATTGGTTCAGCTTACACAGACCAAAATATAAAAGCTAGAGGGTCAAATGTCACCTGAAATAGCTAATAATAACTTCCCTCCTAAGCCCCCCTTGAATATAAAATTTTGTAAAACTACGTATTATTGCATATCTACACACCATACAAGGACCCCCTGTACCAAATTTGATAATAATTATAGGTCGTATATTTTGTGATAGTGATCATTTTTCAGTCAGTGATATTTGCCTTTTATAAGCATAGCGATTATGTCTGATTACATAGTAATCAATGTTTACTCAAGGTTCTTGGGATTCGTGGAGATAATTTACAAAACAAACTATGCTACCAGTTACATTAGAAGAGCTCGCTTTACCTGGAGTGACCTTTTAGGTGAGTTTCTTAAATAAATAATAAAGAAATACGCTGAGAATTTTTTTTTACTTGTATTCACAGTTCTTTGTCTGTTTTATTTGTGAATTAGATGAAATATTTAAGGGTAAAAAAACGCCTCATACACTGTATGTATGACAAAAGAGAAAATATCGCCTTTGGCCAGTATACATTTTCTTTAAATCTCGCACCTGTTATCGGTAGCTAGACACAAAGTAGATGGATGTAGATAGATGGAAAGTAGATAGATGCAAAATTGTGAAATGTGTGAGAATAATTGTCTTTTTAAGTTTTCTTGTACAAATTTAATTACTAAGCAATGCTAACCTCTTTTTGTACTCAAAATACAAACTTTATAAAATTAATGATTTGAATGAATAATCATAAACAGACAATAATTGCAAACTATGTTATACAAACCTAGCGTAATGCTGTGCAGTTTCATACTACCTTAAAATATTAGGCTATATCAAGTGTCGTAAACATAACTTTCATAGTCATGGGCTTTACCAACTGCGTACTAATTGCTGGTGGTGGGAGGATGTGGTAAATGCCAATAAATTATCTTTTTATAATAAACTTTCAATAGTATATTTTACTAGTACCAAAAGAGGCATTTTCCAGTGTGAAGTTTTATATTTCCGAGGCAATACCGTAATGGGAGAGTGCGTTTCATGTACATTACGAGGCAAAGCCGAGAACAGGAATAAGCGGAGCAAGTCCTGGAAAATAACTTTCAGTACAAGTTTAATGATACTTTTTATCATGTGAAAAAATTGCTCACATAGGCTACAGAATAACAGACCTCATAGTCTAGTCAAGATATGAAAAAAACACCCTTAACCTTAAAAAAATTGCTCTAAAAGGTTTTTTGATGGTTTTCATTTCCAAAAAGTATGTTAAATAACATACTAAAAGTCTAATAAAATCGGAGTCTCGGAAATTGGGTTTTTCCAATATGGCGTCCAAAAATAAAAAAAATTATAAACCTTACTATTTTCCCTGTAAATTTTCTTCTGAACCTCCAATTTAGACCGAATTTGGTACAAACCTTTGAAACTGTATGTAATATCTATAAACTATTCATGATTTAAGATAAAAAAAAATATACAGCAAACGTGTTGTATGGGGTTGAAAATAGGTAAAAATCTGTCTTAAGTTGTTAGTAGTAAATAACTTATTTCAACTTTGGTCACCATAGGGAACAAAACTTTTTATCCCTAGTCTGTGCTATACCCATGTTGTAAATCCTTAAAAAATATATGCAATTTAGTATTCTTAATCATTAAATTATCTTAAGTGGTGGTGGGATAGTTATAAAAAAAAACTATGTGATTCTTATGGGAATTCTGAAAATTACCATATCTTAATTGTTAGTTGGTACGCTTGGATAACAATTCATCGTGGCCTGTATCGTCTCCACAGATACTAACACACACTTGTCATAAGCGAATTCTGTGTTGAGTCAAGTAATACAATTTGTTTCAATACTTTTTTTACGCTCATTCAATTCTTTTACTTTGTAATAGTTCACAAGTAGTTTATAAAAAAAAATTATATGTATAATGTTAACAGGTATATTTCGGTAATACTGTTGTTAATCAGATGTTTTTTTTACTTCATATGATTCCAATCGTATTGTTGTTCATGTTTACAGTTATTTAGATCAAATTTAGTCTAGTCAAGATATGAAATAAAACCCCTTAACCTTAAAAAAATTGCTTTAAAAGATTTTTTGATGGTTTACATTTCCAATAAGTATGTGAAATAATACCAAACTAAAAGTCTAATAAAATCGGAGTCTCGAAAATAGGGTTTTTTTTCAATATGGCAAAAATTTCCAAATTTCCCTAAAATATTTCCATAGACAAGCAAGCTTTAAGACATTATTTATTCCCCATAAGAATAACATGGTCATTTTAAATGTACACTTTTTTATTTTCTCCGTAACCGTTAGGCATACAACAACGCTTCTGTATACTAAATTATTTGTTTTTATGATCTCTTCAAAATGGTTTGGAAATAAATTGCAACTTTTCACAGTGAAAAATGGGAAAATCCCATTTCTACCCCGTAAAAAAAGGAGATCTTAAGCATACTCAATTTTTGGGCTTAACCTAGACACAAATCTTAAATATACACAAATCATAATACAAAAACTTTCTTCAGGGTTATATGTTTTTAGGCCAGTGTAACTAATGTAACCTGGACATTCTAAAATAAAAATATTTTGTCTTATGGTCTGGCAATCTATGGAGGAACGCCCAAAATGTTTAGATACAGTTCTGAAACTCTAAAAATGCTATAAGAATCATGCTATACTTAGACAAACGATAACTGTAAACGATCAATTTTCAAAACTACACATTTTGACTGTCTGATCAATAAATATGTACTATAACTAGTGGCCTGTAGGGGCAATGGCCCCTAATCTAGACTACAATAAAAAACCAAATATAAAAAGACAAATACTCGAAATATGTTTTTAAAATTATCAATTTTATGTTACTTAAAATTAACAGTGTTTCTTTTTTTATATCTTGGTTTTCCTTCCGTTGGAGTCGTATATTAGATGCTTTTGATGTGTCGATGAAATACAATTGTAAAATAATGATTAAATCAATAACACAACATAACAAATGTAAACGTGCACACGGTTTGGCCTGAGCCCGGAGAACGACGAATCATGGCTGAAATCATACTGCCAAACATTGCACATCTTTTCTAGTTTAAAATTGAAGATTTGTTTTGTAATCTTACGAATCCTGTTATAGTTTCCATTTCGAGAGCCAAATGTATGTAAAGGTTAAAATTATTATTAATTATTATGAAGGCAACTACCCATTTCGCGGTAGTAAGTCAGAAATATGTCTATGAATTTGTCCCTGAATTTTAAAACAAAATTGGGAAATTAGAAAAAAATGTCCATTCATATGAAACCAGAAATAAAATTTATATAAATTTATCAATCTCAGCTTCTATGAAAAAACTAAAAAAAGGAAACCTTCATGGGATCAAAATTTTTGAATCATTTTCCTACCAAATTTAAAAGTAAAATAAACCAAAATTATTTCATAAATCTAGTGAATCAACTGCCAAAAAAAGAAAAGAACTATTATTCATTTGAAGAGTTTTTTTCAATTAATGCAAAAAAATAATGTTGAGATGCTCTGCTGGAAAAAAATAAACAATAAAAACGACTCGATGACCCAAAGTGCCACTCCAGAGATTCTTTTAAGATTTGTTCACTGCAACTACTCTACTGCAAGAATTTGCAATGCTCCTGCAACAAAGTATGGGTTACCTTGTACTACAGCTTGTGGACTTTACCAGCTTGGAGAACAATGTGACAGTTCGTAAAGTGATCATAACAGTGTACAACTTGATGAAAATTATGAATTATTATTTGTATAATGCTTTACTACTAACCACAAGAAAGTGCGACTATATTATACTATTACTAATGTTATAAATGTGACAGTTTGTTTGTTTGAAGTTCAATCACGCATTAACTACTGGTCGGATTGGGTTGAAATGTGGCTTTATGATAGCTCAGATTCCCGATTAATACAAGCCTATTCTTATCTAAAAAATCCTTTCGGGCTAAAAATGTATACTTAGATATTTATTTAAGTAAATAAAATACGCATGTTGCATTTTAGCAAGCTTGTGATCTTTATTTTAAGACATATTATTAGATTTTTCAAGCAAAAATTAGTCATAAATTAAAATACCCCCGCCGCAGCAAACCTGCACCCTAAGCGAATTTCAATTTGCCTGATTGAATTTACACTAAAATATCACATAAAAAATATCACATTTATTCCCTATTTAAATAGCAATACTATAACTAGTACTTCGGTTTGCTGCGACAGGGAGGGTAAAAAAGTGTTTTTAGTAAAATGTTAAATAGTTTAGTATAAAACAAATGCATTTTCCAAATTTGATAAAAATATTTTCATATACAGGCTAACTACAACAAGTTTTCTTATTCTACGTAAGAATAACATAGGAATTTTAAATTTAATTTTTTTTTTTGAATTTTCTCCGTAACTAGGTATTAGGCCCATGACAACGCTTCAATGTACTAATTTTTTTTCTGAGCCCTAAAATGGTTTCGAAATAAATTGCAAAATGTTATGTTTTTAGGGTCAAAAATGGGGAAAACCAATTTTTACCCCATACAACCCCCCATAAACCCCTGTTCCCATGGTCCGATCATGCTGGTTCGCGAACTCGTTCAAATAAATGTAGGTTTGCATGTTTGTACCAAATTTCATCGAATTCGGATCATTTTTGCTTGAGTTATTGTGCTAACGGACACATTTGACCAAAATCTTGGACGCCATCTTGAATTTTGGACTTCCGAGACTCCGATTTCATTAGACTTTTTTTCCTGGAAAATACACATAATTCTAAGTCAAAATAACCAATAAAACAATTTAAAGCAATTTTTTTAGGGTTCTCGTACGGATTTACTCGACTATCAGTAAAATTAACAATAGCCTACAGGATTTTACAATTTTCAATGAATGTTTCTTAAAATGGGTAAATATAGCAAATAGGTTATACAAAGCCTACCTGACAAAGTAAAAATTATAAGTTCAAACATAAGACATCCCATCTAGATATGGATCAGCTGTCGCCAATTTTTTACTAAAAAAGAGCGTAGTTGTGTGAACCAGTCACAGATTGCGCTAGTGTCTAAAACTCTATTTTGTACTTTATTTTTTGTTACTGACATAGTTGCTGGGTCACAACAGTTGCTATAGCTCATAATAAGTCATTCCATCAGTTTGACTTGGTAGAAACCATAGTGTAATCGGCAGAAGTCAGAAATTTAGATCAGCGCAATCTGTAGGTGGCTCACATCAACTAAGACAAATTTGATTAAAACCCTGGCTACAACTTTAACATGGGGATGGAATGTCAAAAAGGTTCAAAGCAATGTTCTTGCACAGTAAACACACTGATGATAGATAATATAAACCAACATGTGG